ACATATGGTATTAATATGTGTGTACCTATGTAAGTCATGTGTTTACATGATGAATAAAGGACAAATGTTCTTATCTCCCAAATGGAAAATTAGTTGGATAAAACCTTACGAGTTTGTTTGGTTCCAAAAATTAACCACAAAGTTTTAATGCTTTTATTGCATTGGTCCATTTTATTTTTGTGGCATGGATGAATGATAAATGTGCCAATTTAATTTGGACTTCATTCAAGGTGATGCATGAGATGATGGAAGTACTTATGATAATCCTTCATGGACTCTAAGTAACGGTGGTTTGAATAGTAGTAAACTATCTAGTGGAAGAATATGAACAATCATAGGTGTGTAAAACCTATGGTGCAAGGCTAGTGGGGACTTGTGAATCAAGTCTATCTAACCCGGAATGGTTGCAAACGTAATGTTCATAGTATGTTGGACATAGGTTTGAAAGAGTAGGTTTGCATTACGAGTAAGCCATAAGTGATAAGGAATTCTAATTCCTAAGATGCTTGTGATGACATAATAATTTGTTTATTATGTATGTGGTTTAGGACTTGATATTTCCTATGCCACGAGGGCAAGGAAAATGAAGCTATGATTGATCCTTAAAGGAATTTAATAAGTTTGCCAAATGATGGTCGTCATCAAGATGACTATGATTATCAACGTGGAGCTAGTTGCCAGAATTGTTTATGGTATATATAGATGTATATCATTGGAAAATAATTTGGCACGAGAGCTCAATTGAGATGATCTTATTGAAATTAAAGACTGGATTACTTGTGGTATATTTATGAAGTTTATACCATTGGAAAGTAATTAGACAATTGAATTAGAAATTCGTTTGAATTACTTGTGGTATATCATGTTACATAGATGAAATGTCATTGGAAAGTAATTAGATGGGATTTCCATTACTGGAATGCATCTGAATTACTTATGACTTCTCAAGTTGCCTTGATCAATACCATTGGTAAGTAATTGGATGATTTTTCTAATAAAAATATGAATTGTTTGTGGTATGCTAATCGAGTGAGATCATACCATTGGTAAACAATTAGATACATATAGTGGTTGGCAAGTTCAATAAGTAAAACCAGGGAAAATAAATGGGATTATTCCATGATGTTTGGCAAAGGGTAGAATTGGGAGAAGAGCTAGCCATTGTTTCGGCTACTATCTCAAGACCCTACAATGGGACGCAAACTTATCCATAAGACAAAAGTGGAAAGGTAAGCGAAGTCATACTTGAAAGTATGAAGGTGTCCAATGAGAAAGTGAGAGTCCTTAAACCTTGTGGAGTTAACCCAGTCCAAGGGTATAACTTATGAGTAAACTCTAGCATATATTGACGTTATGTCAGAGGCTAGAATATTTATTGATGTTGATCCACTCTTCCCAAAGAGATGATTTTGACAATATACATGAATGTATATGAACAACATTCCCCAAACCGGAAACGTTGGTTTCAAAAACTATGGCGAAATAGTTGAAATGTGGGGGTAAATTGGGGAGAAGTAATGTGGAATGTCGCTTGGGTGGTTCTAAAGTGAAAGTGATACTTAGAAGTTTAACGTAAACTCTAAGCTAAGTCATAAATGTCACTACATTTGAAGAGATACTTGTGAAGCTTAAGTACTCTAAGGTTAATGAAGTGGAGAGACTTCAATACCGTTGGCATGTGTTATGATTATTGCAAGACAATAAAATCAATTCAAGCTCACAAGATGTGTAGTGAATTGGAAAGAGACGAGTCTTTGGTGTATTGTACCCAAAGGGAACTCACCGGATGAACCAAAAGGCAATCCATTAATGGATAGGCATTTATGGTTAACGAGGAGCAGTATCTTGGAAAACGTCCAAGTTAAACTCTAAGACCGGTGAAGTTGAGTAGTTTGGCCCGCAAAGACTGGCGTTAATAAAACGCACTTGTGCACAAAATTGTTATTGCAAGGGCTAGAAGTGTTATGTGAAAAATCTCGTCATTGATAATGGAAACATAACACTAAGGTCAATTTCTAGCGAAGTTATCTAAGTTGATCATGTAGATCAAGTGATAACAAATGTGGGGCCCACCTAGAAATTTGTTAAAGCATCGAAGGGAATGGACTCGTGGCCTAGGACAAATCATCATGGCGGTAACTCTACCTAAGCAGGATTGGCAGACCCAACCTCTAGGTTCAAGGAGAAAACAAAGTTGTGAATGATGGTCCGACATTGTCAACTTATTCAAAGTTCATTCTCATGATGAGACAATGTCCAACTATAAGGGTAAACCTAAAGATGGAAGGTTTTTAATGGTTTCTAAGTTTGACACAGGATGTGATCAAATAGTGTATTTTCGGAATACATGTTTAGAAATCACCTATGTGAGTGTGAAGTGGAGCCGCTTCAAGGAGAATAAAAGAAGGCCAATTCTCTAAGCACTCATGAGACCAGGCGGTGTTCATGGCTGAAACGAACACAACAATGAGAACCAGTGAACGGATAAGAGTTAGGTGTGTGACATATGTTGTCTTAGTGTACAAGCAAAATCGACGGTTCAAAGATATCACATCTACCGATTGGTGAGTATACTCGATATATGTTCACTAAGGAAGGTTCAAAGGGAAACCTACCTATTCCGATGCAACTAATTCTTAGTCGAGAATCACACGTTTTTTTGCATAGTTTTTAAAGTACAACATTCTCCATTCATGTGGGGGATTGTTGGGATTTTTAGTGGTGTGAATGGAAATAAAAGGGGAAAGTTTCAAGAGAGTCTCTTGAAGTACCATGTTGGTAAGATGTGGGAAGGCATGACCTCGAATTCGATCGATTTGATGTAATATGTGGTTAATTGGTTAAATTGGTTTGTGTAACCAAATGAACCAAACCGAGTTGAACCAATTCGAACTGAACCGATATGGCGGTTGGAATAACCAAACCGGTCCAACTTCCATGAGGCCGAACCAATGCAATGGTTGAAATATTTTAAACGAACCAATGCAATGGTTGGGGTGTAACCACCCATATGAAGAGTTGCCTCCCTTCAATGCATCCCTTCATTTTCTATAAATAGCACCATACCCCCTCTTGTTTTAACAACGAGTTTTGCATGGATTTTTCCTGATACTGAAACTCTGCCAAAATCCAAAACTAGTTTTTCTGCATTCCTTTTCAAAGAGAAAATAGAGTCAAGTGTGGTTCTCGCCGTTTCTCTGCGTTCGATGGTTTCCGGGGTTTGAGGTACCGCTACGCCGGAAAAGGTACGTCCTTTCTATCTTGGGAGGAATCATTCCACAACCTTGGGTACTTGAGGGGAATAAGATTCTTTAAGGAGAGATAGTGAATTCTATCGGCTAGGACGCTTGCATGTGTCTTTGCATGTTTTTCTTAATCTTATGTGTTTGCTTGTGTTGCAATAAAATAGTATACGTGAACAATTTTCCCAACAAAGTACTGAGTCAGCAGGACCATGTCCATGACATCTTTGGCAGTTGTCTCGGGGACACCCTTAGAGAATGCCAGCACACTGTCTCTCAGCCCATCGACGATTGCTTGGCGCTGGCATGCAATGCCGATACCAGAGAGGTACTTGGACTCTGCTTCACCCTCTGCCTTTTTTATCTGCAGTATCTTGTCCGCTTCAGCCTTGTCTAGGGATGGCAATCAAACCCATGGCCGCGGGTATCCGACCGCCCCATACCCAGTCAACGCGGGGAATCCCCGCTTTGACCGGGTATGGGGCGGGTATGGGTAAAACCCGCAAAAAGTTTGATGGGTATGGGGCGGGTATGGTTTTAGCCTCCCCCGCCCCATACCCATACCCATACCCGCCCCACCAAGAGAATTTCTTCACATATCAAAAAATATGTGGATTAAATTGTAATCTATCAATGATGATGAATTGATGATGATAACTCGAGAAAATAAATAGTAGAAATGCAATTGAGTAACCACTTTAATCAAAACCTAAATCATTTCCCTCAATTCTCCTTCCACTCTTTCACTTTCCCCCTTGTCAACAAAATTATGTTAGTTAATTATTACTTAGTAAATGTATCCAGAGTTAGAGCATAATAATTTAAAAAATATTAGTCTATATTATGTATTAATGGATGTTTTAGGATCATATTCTTTGAATCGTATTTAGAAAATGACCGTGTTTTTTTGACTTCATGATATAATAGGTTTGTTTATGGTTATATTAAAACTTTTCTTGTAAGTTTTAGGTATAATAATGTTGGATGTACGTGGATGGGTATTACCCATGGGTACCCGAAACCCACGGGTATGGGGATGGGTTTGAAAAACATTCCCCCGCATGGGTATGGGGCGGGTATGGGTTTGGGTATTTGAAGATGGGGATGGGGATGGTTTAGACAAACCCGCCCCAAACCCGCCCCATTGCCATCCCTGGCCTTGTCATTCGCAGCCACCCTCATTCTCGCAGCTACACACAAGCAGCAGAGTTTGACATACCAGAATCCACAACAGACACAGAGAGAGTGGTTGAAAAGTAATCTATTACAGCAGCTAAAGTTTCAAACTTTACCAGCATTGATCTCATTCATGGCCGTTTTGACACGAGGGTCTGGCTCAATGTCGACGATTAGAGTCTGGACTATCTCATACCCATAAGCAGACATGGCCTGTGAAGTATGAATGATTAAGCGTAAACGGCCAATCAATCAATCAATCAATCAATTATTCATTCAAATTGGTTTCTCTAGGCAGTTTATGGAATTTCAGAGATCGCCTTATCAAGCTCATTCTCCACAGCCTTAGCAATCTCATTCTTCTGCTCAAAGGTATCATCCAATGTCAGCTTTGGCACACTGGACCTTATCACTGATCATTAACAAACATTTATGTGACTTTCGAATTCTACAACTTGAGACTGAAAGTAGCATTAGAGAAAGAGTGAGGACCATCAAAGACATAGGACTGTATTGGAGAGCTTATAGAAATCATCAACGGCCTTCTCAGCCAGAGCACGGTACTGAACCGAAGCCACCACGGTCACAAACACATTGTCCTGCGACAGAGATTAGAAAGAGATGAAGACAGAAAAGTAAAAATGATGATCGTTTCAATATTAACAAGGAATTACAAATCACATCATCTCAAGAAGGGGGATTCACAGTATGGTCTTGGTTTCACATTTGACATCAAGCTGGCGAACGCGGAGGGAGACGTAGCCGGCCGCAGTGCAGCCGGTCCACCAAGGGAGGCAGTGGAAGCCCGCCTCCAGCACTTGATCGAACTTGCCAAATCGCTCCTTGATCACCACATGCGATTGCCGCACTTCCAAGCACCCAAAAGCATTGCCCCATCTTCTCCTTATATGTTAAGTTTAACTCATTGTTTAATCTTATTTAGTGCTCAAAATGGATTTCTTCTAAATATAGGAGCGCGCGAGATGACCTCACTTCGATAACCATAAGGCAATCTCAATCGTCGGAACTCCACAGCCAAGAGCGTCATTACATCAATCCAATATTTGAGTTCATCCAATCGAGTAATTAGATGGTACCGACTCGTGCTTACAGAGTGTGTACAAACCATATATAAACTGCAACTGCAACCTAAAAATTGCTCCCTCTCCTCTCTCATGGAGGGATGTTGACAGCCACCCTACTTGCCCCCATCTATAATGTTGCAAACTGCAACAATCCATACAATTGTATGATGTGAACATAAAAATGGAGGGTAAATTGAATACACAGAAAGCAAGTGTACTAATTTACAGTCAGTGGATGCAACTGTAGCCAACACTCGAGAGTGATTTTGATAAAAAGAGGATAACTTTACGACACCACTTTGTGTGCTTTCCTCTTTACAGATATATAGTCTCTATAATTTCCTCCAACTATAAAAATGACACCAGTTAGCTTCAGGGGAGAAGAAAGCAACAACAGGAGCTTAACAGAAATGGAGAAGGCTAATAACAGGACTGATGACCAAGTCAATGAAACACCATTGAATGACTACATTCAGAAAAGGGGGGAAGAGATATCGAAAAAGAAGCAAATTTACTTTCTGTTCCATGTACTTACCATGTCCAGCAGCTGTTAATCACACTACTAATTCCAGCTCTCTAATACCCATTTCTTTGATTCCAAGATCACCCCCTGTGGACTTCTGATACCAAGGCTCCGCACTTTTGAAGGCCAGGAGAAGAAAGAGGCTATCTTTGTCATTTTACTTACACAGATACACAAAGAAGATGCATTCACCTAAGATCCCAATGGGGGGCCACCTATGGTTCTAATTCCTGATACTTAACCATGGAAGTGGCAAATCCACACCCAATAGGACCTAAAATTTTAATATATAAACAACACATGCTCTGATCCCACCCAACCACTGCTATGACTTCTTCCCATTAGGTTTTGGTGACTTGCAAGGCTGGTTGTATGGAGAAGCCGCACGTGCATCACTTAAGCTCGATAAGCTCCTCAGAGTTTGACCGTTCCTTGTCATAAATCCACCCTGAGTTCTAACCCCATTCTTGGAATTCAAGTTCGACTTGTTGCGCTCCGCTTGCATAGTTTGGAAGAAGTAAGAAGAGCTGGCCATGTCTTTCAAGCTAGGTAGAGGCTTTAATGTGTCAACTACCTCACTCATTCTAGGCCTGGCTTTTGGATCGCGGCTGAGACACTGCCCTGCTAGTTGTATAGCCTTCTGAGCACCTTTGATCGAGAAATGGCCTTCCAGGCGAGGGTCTAATAATCTGTAGAACCTTTTTCTGTCAGCAAAATGTGGCCTTGCCCATTCCACTAGGTTGTGCTCCCCATTAGGCCGGTTCTTGTCCATGGATCTCCGGCCAGTTAACATTTCTAGTAAAACTACTCCGAAGCTGTATACATCACTCTTTGACGTCAAGTGTCCTGAACCAATAAGGAAACTTGTTAGAGTAACATCAGGTGGAGACTGGAGTATAAGATCTTGTCTCATCTAACTCTTACAATAACACCAATAAATATATTCAAGAAGAATATATCGTGACCTAGTTCACACAGATGCAAGAACAAAGTGTCCAAGGGAAAAGCAGTTCAAAATCCAACTCACCAGTCATTACATACTCTGGGGCAGCATAACCATATGTCCCCATAACTCGTGTAGATACATGAGTTTTATCTCCCTCAGGACCATCCTTTGCAAGGCCAAAGTCGGAAAGTTTGGCATTGTAGTCCTATCAGAAAGAATATGACATGGTTGTTAGCATTTGCAGGAAATAAAAGGAAATACACTTCTATAACAATTGAAATAATCACATACCGCATCCAATAAGATGTTTGATGTTTTGAAATCACGATATATTACTGGTCTTTCAGCTTCTTCATGAAGAAATGCAAGACCTCTAGCAGCACCAAGTGCAATTTTCATTCTGATTGACCAAGGAAGCGGCAAGGACCCTGCTGCATCGAAAATGGTTGTCACCAGAAAAACATTAAAAATCTTCCAAGACATTTGGAGGCAGAAAAGAACCAAAAACATAATTGATGGCTCTAACATGCATATTTCGCTAACATGTTGATAATATGAACCTCATATAACGTCTAGAACCTCGTTCATAACAAGAATTAACTTAAACAGACGGCAACCTTTGGAAGCTAATATTTGCCTTGGACAACAATTTGGTCTGTAGATTCATACAAATAGTCTAACTGAAGAATCTAAGGATATTCTGATTTCCATGCACATGAAAGTCCAATCAACACGGTCATAAGGCCACTAGATGCATGCTCTCCGATTAGGGGATCTTAAAAACATGGTACAGTTATTAGCTCATATAACTAAAGAAACCTAAATCTACCATCCATTTAGTTCTTTAGTTAACCACTAGTACTAAGCTATTAAATCTACAGTAACCTAATGTTAATTCCTTGCAACATACCTCACTGACCTAAAAATCTAGCAATAAAAACTCTGCCTGAACATTGTTAATTACTGCTTGATTGTAACTTTTGACATAAGCATGAATAACATACAAAAATTTAGACCCGAAAACAAAGCAAGCTCAAAAAGACTTCACAGTAGTTTTCCAGGTCACATACTCCTGAAGAGATGGTTCTCCAAGCTTCCACGAGGCATAAACTCGTACGCCAGCAGCCTTTGGTCGTCTTCAATGCAGTAACCAATCAACTTGACCAGATTCGGATGGAGAAGGTTCCCAAGAAAATTAACTTCAGCCTGAAATATAGAGGATTACATATATAAACAATTCAACAAATTAAAATACAAAAGAATCAAAGAACGAGATAAAAAGATCCCATACAAGCCATTCTTTATGACCCTGAAGGCCATCATGGTTCAGGGTTTTCACTGCAACAGTGAGACCAGTTCCTGGTTTAACTGGAGCAGTCCCATTCTCCTCAATCCACCCTTTGAAGACGCATCCAAAACCACCCTCCCCTAGCAGACTCTCGGGTCTGAAGTTCCTAGTCGCTAGTTTAAGGTCATTGAAAGTGAACTTCCGCAGCTGAGAAGCTAGCCTTAGTTCCTCGCTGAATTTAGGTGTTGATGCTGTACTCTCTGGATTACTAGTAGTCGTTGATGACAATACTGGGACAACTGGTTGGTCTTTGCTTTTCTCATTTGCAGACTGGCTTTCAGCTGAAAGGTGGAAAAAACAATAGTAGAACAATTCAGATATACTAGACAAACTAAGAAGATGAAGCATAAACATCAAGTAAACTCTTTGAAGGGTTTCATCTATTCCAGTCAACACTCCTACGTAGCTTTCCAAAATTAAGCCAACCTATCACAGTTTGACCAACTTAACAACCAGGCATCTTATGCATAATCCAAACGATAAACATCGACCACATTAAATTCACCCGCTTTCTCCTTTCCGAGCCTTATATTTGCGATCTCGACCAAGACAAAAAGGGCAAAAAGGACGAAACACCGGTATTAGGCATCCTTAATTGCCAAAGAGAGCAAAAACATCTGATCATGCAGCACACGATTTCCCTGCCTATCGTAAACTCAGCCCAAAGATGTTAAACAGAATCAATTTGACTTTTTATTCCATTATTATCTGATTTGAGATATAAAGTAATTAATCTACATGAATAACATCACCAAAACAAAAGGAAACAGTTAAAGCGGGATTCATTTACCATATTGATTAGTGATGCCACTCAAGGAGCTATCAACTTTTGATCTTGAAGGCATGCAACCACCGATCAGCCTCAATCTAATCCAGCAGCCAAAATCTTCTTCTGACCTATTCTTACCCACCACAACATCTCTCTGCTTCTTCTTCTGCTTGTTGTTGCCCTTTGATTTCACCTCAAACTGTAACTTGGGTTTGGAAGAATCAGGACCCAGACCCATCTCCAGAAAAGAATGAAAAGGTAGAAAAAACAAATCTTTACCCACAGCCTCAACCTAAAACTATGGAAGAAAGGGAACCCATTTCATAAACAAGTCTTATTTGCCCATTATAATCAAAATACAGAAAGAAAAGGGGTGGCGAAATGGATTAGAGATTAGAACAAGTGATACCCAGCTCCCAGTCGTGAAGTTCTTTTAGTCAAAAGGAGGTTTGATAGTAGGTAGAGAGGGAGGGGACTGCTTGTGAAAGAGGAAAAGTGAGAAGTTGGGGCAGGGAGGGTGGGCAAGGATTGAAACCAGAGAATAAGGGCAGGTTGGGGCAAGAGAGAGAAAGGAAGAGGGAGAAAAACTGAAAAAGGGTGGAGAGGGATTGGTCATATTCCAGACAAGAAGAAAGAAAGAAAACAAAAACTGAAAATTCATCATATGATTATGATTAATCAATAAATAAAATACACCATGTACAAAATAATATTGGATAATACTATTCTAAGTACAGAGCTACAGAGGCACAGCCGCACAGCAGCACCATTTGATCACACCCTCAAAAGACTTTAGTTTTTATTTTCCCCTTTTTTTTATTTTTAGCCATTAAAAAAAGGTGGGAGGTTCATGAACTGGTCCATTCACAGAGTGCCACATTTGGGTTTTTGCTGGTGGTGTGGTGAGTTCCCCTACCTTCTCCCCCAATCCTCTCAAAGTCAAATAATGCAAGCTGCAATTGCTGCAGCAGAGAGAGCTCCCCCAAAAGGCTGAGTTAGTTGCTTACTTGCTGGCTGCACAAAAAAATGGCTGTAACTATCAAAAACCTCTGCTGTTTCTTTGGGACATCCTTTTTCTCTTTTGGTTTGCTCTCTGGGTTTGTAAGGTTTGTGTCACTTTCAGATTGGTGCAATCAGTTGTTTTTCTCCATGGGGATACTAGGGAAATGAAATGACAGTAATGTTTGACAGATAAGGGATGTCTGTCAGAAACAGTTTTTTTTTTTAAGTTTGGTGGAAATAAGGTAAAGTTTTTGGAATGCCATGCTCACTCAGTATATTGGCTAGGGATGTGGTATGGGTATGGAAAAGGTAATTTATGGTGTGGGTATTGGTGCAACTCTTAATCTGGCAGTTTATAACGATACAAAATAAGGTGTCATATTCAATTTTATCTTAAAAGTAATCATTCTTAGTAGTATTGATGGTTCAATAATAACACCTCACGAACATGGTGTGAGCTTCCATCCTACTTAAAAGCTACTGCTTTTTCGAATAAGCATATCAAAGGAGGATAAGTAGTTGCGAGGAAAATACATTAGCATCATGTATGTAAGTACACAAGCATAAGAAAGAAGTCCAAATAATTATTTGGGCAAATACAATATATTAGCCATAATTATTAAGCATCGGAAAATTATAGCCAGAACTATCGAAATACAAATTATTAGCCAATCGTTAAGTTTTCGTTAACACTTCTGTTAGTAATGATGACTAAGCTTTTACGATGGTGAGCTGGCTCCCACGTGGCAGTCATCATATCATATTTTTTACGATGCTGACATGGCCTTCTACGTTAAAAATTTGAAAACAGTAACGGGCTGTTAGCCAAATCTTGACCCACAACAATAGTTATGGCTAATAATTTGTATTTCGATAGTTGTGGCTATAATTCCCCGCTACTTAATAGTTATGGATAATATATTGTATTTACCCTAATTATTTCCCTTCGGTTGAGAATGGTAACTATTCACAAGCTAAGGCAGCCCTGATTAGCTTGATCTTCCAAGTTTTTCACATCAAAATAAAATGTTTTCTACAATTAAAATGTAATTTTAGTTGTAAGAAACTAAAAAGAAACTAAACCATTTTGTTCATCATACTAGAAAGTATAGGTTATATATTAGCAGTCCAGTAGCAAGCTAAAAACATTCTGTTTGACAATCTAATTTCAAATACTTTTTATATTAAAGGTCTAACATATGCTTGAAATACATATTGTCATAATAATTAGAATTGGAGATTTCATTTATAAAAGCATCTATTCCTTTTTGTATGACTAAACCTTTTTGTCACGGTCAAGTGGGGAAAACTCATTCATAAGTTCAACTTGGTGGTTGAAGTTTTGTGAGGCCATATTGAAAACCAAAATGCAATAATTAACTAAGTAAAAATTAAATTAATTAATGTCATCCGATATCCGAACATTCATTATTATGTAGTCCTGTTCTTCCCCTGAAACACAACACTTCTTTGGTCTTCCATTGATGGCTACGTGGCAAATGAAATTGTCCACGTTTTTTATTTTATTAAAAATTGATATTATGTATTTGGGTGGGATACTAGTTATCTCCACTAACTTTCACATCTTCTAATCTATGAAGAAAATGGACACCCTACAAAAAAATTCTACAAAGTTGTCAATGCAAACTTTAAGTTTGTTTACCCTAAAAAAAATTCTAAAAAGTTGTCAATGCAAACTTTAACTAAGTTTGTTTACACTGAAAAGAAGTTTCAAGGTGGAAATTTGTCATTGTAAGGAGGATTTGAAAGTATCGATTGGACAACCTAATCCATTTTTATACAATGACTCCAAACAAGAAATTTGTTTGATTGAGATCCAAGGTGGACATCAAAAGGATGTCTATCATAGAAACGATTAAAAGAAATCATACTTCACTCAGTTTTTTAGTTTTACAGCTAAAAAAATCACTAAGGAATATAGATTGGACTTGCCAAGAATAAGATCAGCTATGAAATCTAGTCAATTGAGATGTAGGACTGAACGATGTTCGTCATAAAACCAACTCAAATGAACTACAAGCTCAACGCAATAGAACTTGTAAGACCTTTCAGAGTAGCCAACGGACCATGCCATAGAACCACTCAAACGTCCAGGCACCTTCTAACCATAGGACCTCAATCCTCGACAGCTTATCTTCAAGAGAACGAGCCTAGGTCAAGCCTAGGTCGTACGCATCCACAAGTTCCCCTACATAGCAAGTGGAACCAAAGCTTAAGGTCTTCTTAAGGCAAGATTACATGGTGCTTGTGACATACGCATGAATGAAATTGTCAGTCCACGTTACAAAGAACTAGGAGGTTTGAAGCTCGATCGACTATGTTTGTCACAAGTTCGTAGCATTCAGGATCACATCTGACATTTCAGAAACGTAATTCGAGTTTTTCCATCACACAGGCCACAATGACCAATCAATCATCAGATTGATGGATGAGGACGTACCCACGGTGGTTACCATTCAATACCAATCCCACCACGATGCCGTCTCGCTAAAGCTTAGAAGAAGTGTTTAGTCCCTTTGCATACACTGTTCACATTCATCAAGCCACACATTCAACAATCAAAAGGAGACAGGCAGCTAACTCACAGATCTGACAAATGGTGCCACCCTGAGTTCATCATAGGCATGGAGGAAAGGTTAGTACTGAGGGCTAAACCGAGGAGTTTCGCCTCATGTCTCGAGCCAAGTTAAGGTTCCCATCACCAAATACTTGCTCGGTAGTTCACCCGCAGTTGGTGACAGGTATGTCATTTTCCTCCTGCAACATGTTTGTACATACCACTTCAGATATATAGGCATAATCCAGAAAATTGGATGACAGAGGTTTCGAGTAGTAGAAAACAGATAAAGCACTAACCTCTGAAGATCAATGTCAGTTACGTAGATGAACCCAGCAACATTACTGTGGACCAAAACAATTAAGCAAAGTATCTCTGAAACCCACACGGTAAAAAAGAAGCAAAAAGAGCTACTCTTTCTTGAGAATTTACTTGATTTACCTAGAGGCAATTTGATCTGGTTCTTGAGCATATGAAACAGCTAGGACGACATGGAGCAAATCACCATCAATAGTCACAGGTGCAACTCTCAGAGGGTTGGCAACTGGGTCTGCACCTATTGGGAGAGCAGATCTCGGGGCTTGTGGTCCCCCACCAACTCGGTATACGAACAGATCGTTGAAGTTTGCTATATTGGAGTGCGGGGATAGATCATTTGAAATGCCATAATAGTATTCCTGGAAAAGATAAAAAAAGTATTCATTTTTTCAGCAGTGTGTTTGGAAGAAAGAAGGAAGCATGTTTGGCAGAATTCCAAAGAGCTTACCCTAATCCTGAAACTCCTGGACCTCTGGCGGAGTTTCTGAGTTCTGGATACTACACCACCTGACTTTTGAAGTTTAACGACATCCACGTTAGGCTTATTCCTTAACACATCCCTCAGCATGCTGAAAAGTTTTTCCTGCATAAAGTTTAAAGCATAAAAAACTCAAAATATAAGAACTTTGAGTTCAATTGCAGAAGGGTAAATACGGTCATTGAAAATACGCTAGAAGGCAGCAACTAAAGCAAATGACAAAGAGCTAGATGATAGGCAGCCAATTCCAAAGGCACTGATTTTTTACCTGGCCTAAAACCAAGACAACATTTGCTTGAAATGTATCAATAGCATGAAGAAGCAGCTGCAGAAAACAACAAACATTGAAGTGGTTATTATCAGCCTTTTGAGAACGTATGTACTCCTTTCTTACGGCATGAAAACCACGATTACCTCATAGCCTACGCCTTCTATCCATCCCATTGTATTGATCACCATGCCTGCAGAACGAGATTCAGCGTTTCCAGTAAATTGTTTCTCCAGTACTTCTGCTAGCTCCTTAACCAGTGTTCTATATAATTCCACATTTTGACTACAACAGAGGAAAATCAGAGCAGACAGAATAAAGTAGTGAGCAAACAATTGCAGCATTACTAACCGGGACTCAACCATAAGCCACAACCAGATTGTTAGTTACCTGGGAGTTGTGTGTCCATAAAAATAAACTAGAGGCATGTCCAAGGGAATGCCTTCAACAGGGTCAATAGGCAACTCTATGGGGGTAGCAGCAATGCATCCAGGAATTGTGATTGCCCCTTGACCCACATCCAAGTCGACGAAAGTAGGTTTCCAGCCTTGTTTTGCTGCCCAACTGAGCAGCATCCTAGACAATGAGCTCTTTCCAGAATCTGTAGGCCCCACAACAATCACCCTAGGACCCTATATTCAGCACAAGTTAATTCAATGATCCAAGCATGATAACTTCATTAGCAAGGCAAGTACTTCCTAAGCTTGACATCAAATTGTAGTCATGTTGCTTATGATGACATTTGACAGCACTATAGTTCTGGACTTGGCCTCCAAGAACTGATAGCACACAGAGATGGCCTAGCGCAGACCAAGGTGGATTAGAATATATACCTGAGTGGGTTCAGAGTCACCTGAAGAAGAAGCTTTAGCTTGGATCCTTCGCCCCTCAAGTATAGCATGCACATTGACATAACTAACCATAGGTGTCTGGAAAACCAAGTACAGGGATTGAATTTGCTACTTCCAACAGAAACCCAGAAGGCCTAAAGAAGTAAACATGTAGTATATTCAAACCTCATCAGCTGTGTAGTCGGTTTCCGTGGCGCCATCCAGCTCAATTGTAGCTCCGTACCAAGTAAACACCTTTAGAATCAATGAGACCCAGTCAATGAACTTGAAAAGGGATAATCGAGTTCCCAAATTTACTTGCAATGAAGGTTCGAAATTTTACAGCGAACTTCAAGCGGGGAGGGAATGTGAGCCAGATTTCACGAGGAAGCTCAGTGCCGAAGATTTCAGCTGTACCGTTTAGGAGCCTCAATCGAAGCGGCGTCTCGTGGGCGGCTTCAATTCTAAGTTCACTCTCCTTTTCCAATTTCACTTGCCTTATTGCCGGCGCCGCCGCCGCTCCGGCGGTCATCGCCGAGCCCGCACCACCGTATGCCATGTCGTCCCCTTTCCCAACTGTAAACAGTCTTCCGCCGCCCCCTTCTTCCACCCTCTGCTCGAAAGCTTCGGGCAAGCCGTTGCCGCGACTTGAAGTCAACAAACTGAATTGGCGATTTTGGAATTTTCTAGGATTGACGCCAGAAATGGAACGGACCGATTGATTACCGACAGAGGAATGGGGTTTAGGGTTTTGGTACGCCGCAAGACAGACTGAAGTGTTACGTCTTTTCCATTTTCCGATGAACAAAAAATTTCACATGCAAGCCGGCACCGTTTCACATTGTTCAAATTAAGGGTATACACTATATATTAGTCCGTTTGGTAAGATTTGACCATTTTCGACCAAATAATCTACACGTTGCATCTTAAAAGAGTACAATTTATCAATTTCGTCGACGTTTAAATAAGTTTGATCGATCATGTTCGAATAATAACCACCATATATAGTTATTATTGTCTAAGTATTCAACAATATAGTTACGAATAATAAGGTTCAGATAATTATTCCACTTGAATCATGGCCAATAGTCCTAAACATTTGGAAGCTAAAGAACATGATGAAACAAACACACCCCTCAACTACATGGCTAGGCTATAAACAAAAAGCTCAATCAAACGTCAAAAACCCTCTCTTAACCAACAAAACCGAAAGCAACCGCCGTATGCAGCAGTAAGAGCACTCTTTCAGTTCGATACACCAGCAGCAGCTGGTTCCACAGCAGCACCTTCTTCATCTTTGGTCGATGATAACGCCTCCCAGTTCACTTCCCTCAACAGCTTAAACCTCTCTTCCAATCTCAAAAATCCAACTTGAGGGCACACTATACCCTCACTCCCAGCTCTATGGAGCAACACCATGCTCCCACCGATGTCAGGACCATGCAGCTTCCCAGTTAGCAGCACCCTCAGCGGCATAAACAAAGATTTCCCCTGCCCACCACAAAACCGAAAAACAAAACGAAAAAGATCTGTTACAATCAATCGCTTCAATTAGTTTTAGAGACTTGGGGGCAGGCACAAAGGTGTTACCTTGCGCTTTGTAGATTTACCAAAGTCCTTCACCCAACTCTTCCACCCGGAATGACCTCCTTCTAGAGCAGTAATAAGCTCCCCGCTGTCAAATGCTGCCAACAGCTTCTCTGCTACTTCAGAAAGTTTGTCTTCTACAACAGCTTTACCTTCAGCACTGCAAACATGGCAATTCATCAGCTGAATAAGAAATCATTTCTTAATAATGCGTTGATTTATTTTCTTGCAAGTTAAGACAATTCATCAGCACCATTCCGGTTACAAGAAAAGGGCATTTTTGTTGCCAGTAAGTCAATACTAACTAGGGATATTGTTACCAAAACTTTTTTTAACACTTAAGTATGGAGAATTCGGTGTGTGTAAAAGGGGTTTGAGCTTGCGGATCACCTCATTAACGTCTCTTGTAAGGGATATGACAACAGATTCAACATCACTTTGTCTGCATCAGGTACCAAATCTATGCCATCCTTAAGCAGATTAACAGCCTCCTGTTTGTAGAAGGTGGAACATTTAAGCAGTAAGAATTCAGATGAAAATGACAGCCACAAGCGGCTAAACTTCAAATAAATTTATCATTCAGCTGTCAAGTGTAATGCTTCAGTAGCAAGTGTGGTAAAGTTAATGTACAAGTAGAATGGACCTACAGGTGCAGAGATATTCTTACTTCTATAAAAGAACCCTGGGACTCCATTAGTATTTCAATGTTCTTCCACCGTTCACCTATAAGCTTTGTCAATTTCTCAGATGGAAGCGCTTTTAAATGCTGACCATTCATCCACCTTTAGTTTGCACATACATTTGAGAAAACAAACTTTAGGAAACCAATTTAAAGTTAACTATGCTTTGCAGGGTAAGGAAAGTAACAGTTAAGTAGCCTTATAATATGCCATCCATCTCAAGGAAGCATTAAACATGCACTATACCAAGCAACATGAAGGGATAAATACAGCCTACAGAAGATATTCCAGTAATATACAATGCAATTTTTCCACCTAACCCAATAATTGGATGGACTCAAAAACAGAGCCAGTGGTTGAATATTCTTAATTACCTCAACTTAGTAGAATCAAACACGGCGCCACTTTTGTTAACACGATCAATTGTGAACTTTTCAACTGCAAATGAAATTAGAAGTCAAACTACATCCACTAGCTTACATCAAAATTCCAATAAATGATGAAGGAACGGACCTAGTTGTTCAAGGCTGTAAAATTCATTTTCAGTGCCATCCCCCCAACCTAAAAGTGCCAGGTAATTTATCATTGCTTGGGGAAGGTAGCCCATCTCCTTGAACTGTGAAAAAAGTAATTGTCATATAAATGTTAGAAGACCCGAAAGAAATCACCTTAAGGAGTCTGTGGACAAAAATGTCAATACCCCAAATGACTTCCAATAAAGTAAAACCATTCTTTCCAAGCAAGATGTGCAAGGATTCATTAACTACCTGACCAACTGAAGTTGCACCATGCCTTTTCGATAGCTTGCTACGATCAGGTGCTAGAATTAGGGATACGTGTGCAAACTGAGGCATCGGAAATCCAAGAGCCTGAAACAGAATGAAAGTAGTTCCTCAATCTGTAATAAAGGACCAAGTGACTGAGTTTTTTTTGGGAGCATGAACATCAATACCTGATATATTAATGCTTGCCTCAGAGTATTTGGCAAATGCTCTTCAGCCCTGAAATGCAGATGTTGAGCATGAAATCAACAGGTTGTTTATGTCTGTTTGTACTTATATCATCGCTACCAAAGTATCAAGTGACTAGGTCAGTTACCTAATAACATGTGAGATAGCCATGGTAGCATCATCCACTGTGACACAAAAGTTGTAAACGGGTTGTCCATTGCTCCTCATGATTACAAAATCCCCAAGTGTGTCCAGATTCCAACTAACCTTCAGAACACTATCCAACATACTTTAGAAACTCGTAAACGGCAAAACTCAAGATGGTCAGTTGAAAAAAGGATTCAGAACAGGTTCCAGCAATAACATCAAGCTCAGGGTAAAAGAACTACTTTAAACCTAACTACAAAGTTTTTCTTGAGCAAGATTCTCCAATGCAGAACAAAGTCAATCAGGCTAAATTGACCAATTATAATGAATCATAGAATTCTTTTTCCAGTTGGCAATAGGATGGAAATGGCAGAGGTAGATGCCTAGTCGATTGTAACTTACTTCACCCCGAATGAGATCATTTATTTTCAGATTCCCATGCTTTGGAACACGGAATCGGTAGGTATATGGGGTTCCCTTTTCCATCTCATGCATTACTTCATCATCTGTTGCAGTAGCCCACTTTCCAGAGTACACAGGAGGTAGTTGTTTCAATTGTGCTACTTCCTTCATTTTCTCAAGTTCCTGGAAAGAATGTGACACCAGATTTTGGGTCAGAAAAACGCCCTAAGATCAGCCAATGATTTATATAACCTCAGCATTGAATAAACCAGCTACATAAGAAGAACTCGTAGGAGGATTTAGGAAAATACTTCGCTATCTTCAAACTCAACAAGTCCAAAGAAAGAATATAACAGCTCTGGACTTTGTTTAGCTAAACAAAGCCCAACAAGCAATACCATTTCGATTTCTTATCGACCTTCTTTAGTATTACCAAACTCTGGTTTTTCCTCTTTTGTAGAGGATCACCTTCTCATGTGAAATATATGGGAGACAAATTCATTACTAATAAAAAGGCAGATGAATGCAAGTCATGGCTTGAAGACAAGACTACCTCACTGGAACAGAAGCAACGGTAAACATGACCAGACTCCAAGAGCCTCTCAGCGTGTTGTTTATAAAGAGAATTCCTTTCAGATTGCCGATACGGGCCATAGTCTCCATCAATCCAAGGACCTTAGACCACAACAACACACAATAGAAACTTTCAGAATCATAATCATGGAAATCAAGTCATTTCAGGTAAGTCTAACAGGTATGCACATGTAAGGTGATGATTTCTAATGCATAATTCAGCTGCTAACATGTAATGCACATAGAAAATAACTGCCTTCTTTAGGAAACTGCAGATCACAGTAAGCCACAAACTTTCATAACTGGGAAGTTCCTATTTGAAGTTGAATTATCTAAAATTGGTCATTTCATCAAGTGGCACTGGGAAAGAATGAATGAAAGGAGTTGAAAGAGACCTTCATCCCAATCAAGACCAAGCCAAGCAAGATCCTGGAGCACGGCATCTTCTGCTTCTCTAGTCGACCTCTCCAAGTCGGTATCTTCAATCCTCAGCACAAATTTACCACCTTTGGACCTGGATGGAGAAGTTTCTAATGTAACTATGACAAGAAAGTAACGATGCACGAAATGTGGAGTGAGGGGGCAGAGCGCAAAACCTTGCAAAGAGATAATTGAAGAGAGCAGTCCGAGCACCACCAACATGGAGATTCCCAGTCGGGGAAGGAGCGAAACGAACCCGGACTTGCTGGTGTTGATCAGCAGTGGACTTGGAGGCACAAACAGAGAACTTTCTCGCGCTCCACGTCCGAGAGGAGGGAGGAGCAAATGAAGAGAATCGCAGGGCTAGAGGTTTCAGAACCGGGGATCGAGTAGCGGAATGGAGGGGCAGGTGGCAGAAATCAGGGATTACCCTGCTGCCCATCCTCATCCATGACGCCGTCCCAGTAGCGGCTGCTATCGAACTTGCCATTGTCGTCCCCCCCAAAGCTCCCTATACCTGTACCATGTCAATTCCAAACCAGAGATATTCCTATTAAGACTCTAGAATGGAAAACCGAAATTTGGGGCTGAAAGCGGAATTCTATCGTTCTGGAACGGAAAATAAAACGAAGATTGCATTGAGGGTAAAGTGGTTAGAGTTGCGACACCTTCAATTCCCTTCACTTCACGTCAGCGGAGGCGGCGGCGGATGAGCGAGCCAGTTCTGGTAGAGAAGGGGACGGAGAACAGAGAGATGGAAGGGTCAGAACTCAGAAGATAAAATCCATTCCAAGCGGGAACCAGCGATATGACCCGCAGCAGAAGAAGTAGTTGGATCGAGATGGGCTAACTGATGATTGGATTAATACAAGCATTGGTCCTCAAACTTTGATACTTTCTCAAGTAAAGCGTGTAAACTTTATGTTTTACTAAACAAGGCCTTGAATGTTGTTTCTTCCCTGTCCACATAGTCGTTAAAAATGATAGAATTTGACATTCAATGTGACCCCGCACATCGTCGAAGTTTAATTTTCTCAAGGATAGAGGGTGTGCAATGTCCAGTTTGGTCAAAACATGATAAATATAGTGCAATAGGATTATTAATTTATTATTGCATTCATTACAGGCTCTTTCATCGATAGTTTATTTTCTTACGAACTACCGCGGTTTTTCTGTTTTAGTCTTGTTATTGAGTCTTGAGTCGAGTCTTTGTCCGGTGTCCTTTGAGCTTGCCCTGGAAAAAAAACATTGTCTTTAATTCGAAGCAAGAAATTATTCAATAATGTTTTACTCTTGGAGTACCAATTTGTTAATTAACTCAAGGATAAGTTAGGCATATTTATCGGTCAAAGTCATTTAGGAGATAATTTTTCTCACAATACAAACTAGCTTAATTAGAGCTTACGATCGAATACGAAAAGTATCAAAGTATAAATGCAAAAACTTGTATCGATCCTTGATTAGTTAACTAGATTGTAGTCTCAAAACAAGGGGTGGAGGCATCAACCTCTCATCGGCTGACAAGTGAAGGAATAAATATAAGACAGAGTTTTCCTTCATTATGAATAAAAGCGACAACTTAAATTGGACGAATTTCTAATTCTTTAACCCTTGATTCTTTCATCTCTATTCTACAAGCTAAGATTTATCAATTCCATCGTTGAAAATGAAAATTTAACACGACATATTGTCTAAAATTATATGTCAAACAATAATGTTTCAATGGTTTCATCTAGGGGTGGGCATTGGGTGGGTCGGGTGGATTTTGACCATAAAATGCACCCACCCGCGCTTAAACGGATTGATAATTTTTAACCCACCACCCACCCACATTTAGTCTCGGGTTGGGTCGGGCGGATGGTGGATGATGCGGGTGGGTTTGTGGGTTCACCCACATCACAATGCATATAATATAAAGGAGTCAACTTGACATGATAATAGGTGAAGAGAATCATCGAGGGAAACCAGAAGTTGAAATAGGGCGAAAAATGTCGAATTAGTTATTAAATTGGACAAAAATTCTATTATGAAAGAGTTTTCTACAGATTGAGACGATTATTAGGTGCAAGGAACTAAGGAAAATAAATCCACAAAGGAAAGAACGGTGATCTAGGCACAAGAATTAGAGGAAAAAGTAAAGGGAAAAAGAGGGGATCTCTATTTGGAAGGTTGGCTTTGAGGTTCAAACTCCAGGAGCAGTCCGAGTTTATATCTAACGTCTCCATTCTCCTCTCTCTAGCGCCAACGACTTTGATTTTTTTGCTGTTGGGTTGAGCGGGTCACCCGCACACTCACCCACAACCCACCCACCACCCGGCGGATGGCTCCCAGCGCAACTCGTCACCCACCCACAGACCCACCCACTTAACAAAATTCGGGTCAAATGCGGGTGGGTCGGCCCAAATCCGCGGATGATCCGCCCGCATGCCCAGCCCTAGTTTCATCTATTCACATTTCGTGGTTCTAAATTCTATATATTTCAACATTCCGCTAGAGTTCAATATTCTTTTCATTCAAAGGACTCCAAATAATCATACAACTGAAACCAACACACTCACAACCATATAACAATAAATAAATAACATGTATTTGTTCATCACCATTGTGGAACCACCTTTCACGATTGACATCTCGTCGATACTTACATCAAACAACACAAAACACTTTGAATAATAATCCATCTTAAAAATGTTTTAGTCTACATAATAACATAAACTTCAAAGTTTTGCATTAATGTTTTGGTCAATATGTCATTTTGGGAGAAGAAATTCATGTAACATCCCATCTCGTATTATCAACTGCCTAGTAGTAGGCTTGGCCCTTGACGTTAGCAAGCTAACATCATCTCTGGCATGACTATAATGCTGTTCTTCTTCTTCTTGTCAGAGATCACACTATTAGAACATTGAAGCTTGAAATGCATGGTAACAATCATCACAACAATTTCCTTTCCTGGAGAACAACCCATCAAACTCACTCTCATTGTTTTCCTCCCCTTCTATTCCCTGTGACTTCCCCATATAAACACCTCCTTCAACATGTTCTCAAATCTCAATCACCAAGCCCAAAAAGCAAAAAGAAAAAAAAGGCTTTGTTTTCTCATCCTATCCCCCAACGATGGAGCTATTCGGCATCAACATAGGTTCAACAATGGCGGCACTAATGTTAGGGTGGACAATGTTCCAGCAATTCTTCCCTTACCACCTTAGCCGCTTGCTTGAATTGTACGCCCTAAAGATGGCCGCTTTCTTCTACCCTTACATCCAGATCACCTTCCCGGAGTTCACCGGCGACCGCCTGACACGGAGCGAGGCATACATCACCATCCAGAACTATCTCGCTGCGATTTCCTCTGCCACCGCCAGGCGACTCAAGGTCGACTTCGTCAAAGAGAACAACGACTCTGTCCTCCTCGCCATGGATGACTACGAGGAAGTCACCAACGTGTTCCACGGCGTCAAGGTCAAGTGGTCTTCCACGAAGACTGTTCGTCCCTCGCAGTCGGTGTCGTTCTACCCTGCTGCCGACGAGCGGCGGTCCTTCACCCTCACTGTTCACAGCCGCCACCGTGAGTTAGTGACCAGCGGTTACATAGCTCATGTGTTGAAGGAAGGGAAGGCAATTGCGTCGAGGAATAGGCTGAGGAAGCTTTACACTAACAATTCGAGCTGCGAATGGTCTCTGTGTAACGCTACGAAGTGGAGCCATGTTGCTTTCGACCACCCTGCGAGTTTCGATACTCTGGCCATGGCGACGGGGCTCAAGGAAGGGATTAAGAAGGATCTGGTCAAGTTCAGTCAAGGGAAGGACTACTACAACAGGATAGGCAAGCCATGGAAGCGCGGGTGAGGTTTTTCGTCTCCATGTTTTCCCAATTTTTCTTTGCCGATTTCCAGAGTCGTGCTGATTTTCTCTTCTAGGTATCTCCTCTACGGTCCGCCGGGAACGGGGAAGTCCACCATGATCGTCGCCATGGCCAATTTCCTGAACTACGACATCTACGATCTGGAGCTGACGACGGTGAGGGACAACTCCGAGCTGAGAAAGCTGCTGATCGAGACTACGAGCAAGTCGGTCATTGTGATCGAAGACATAGATTGCTCGCTCGATCTCACTGGCCAGCGAAAGAAGGGCACGAATGGGGAGAAAAGCAAACAAGAAGATGAAGCAAACGCAGAGGAGAAAGACCCTTTGGCCAGAATTAGGAAGGGAATGGGAATGGGAATGACGGGGACGAGGGAGAGCAAGGTGACACTCTCGGGCCTTCTGAACTTCATCGACGGAATATGGTCGGCTTGCGGCGGAGAGAGGATCATCGTGTTCAGCACCAACTACATCGACAGCCTCGACCCGGCATTGATTCGGAGAGGGAGGATGGACATGCACATCGAGATGTCTTACTGTTGCTTCCAGGCCTTCAAGCTGCTGGCAAGGAATTATCTGAATTTGGAATCACATGAGCTGTTTGGAGAAATTGAGGTGCTCTTGGAGGAGACGAAGATGACTCCCGCGGATGTTGCAGAGAATTTGATGCTGAAATCGGACGACAAAGGGCCCGAGAGTTGTCTGAGAAACTTGATTGAAGCTCTTGAAGTTGCCAAGTTGGAAGAAGAAGCAGCAAAGTTGAAGGCCAAGAATTCAGATTTGGAGCAAATGGTAGCAAAGTTGGAAGAAGCTGTCAAGTTAGAAGAAGCAACAGCAAAGCTGAAAGCCATGAAATCGGAGGAAAACGTAGCGAAGTTGGATAGCAAACTGCAAGTGAAGGAGGAGGAAATGGGTGAAGACGGTGAGAAATGTGCTGCGGCGCCAGCACCATGATCGCAAGGGAAGTAGAACTGTAGCACTAGTAGCATTTCTAGACTCGTAGTTTAACAGTAGTAGTTGAAACTTGAAAGAGTGATTCGAGAGATGATTTTTTAACCGTAGCAAAGGCAGGATCTTATTCGCCTTAAAAACGGGGAGTTGCTAAAAGTCGCCCTTAAAATTGCTAAAGATCGCCCTAAAAAGAATCAAAGTTACACTTTTACCCCCTTAGCTTCTTTACCTTCCCTTTATGAAACAAACACCACTTGGACTAAAAAAACACTATCTAAGAAGAGAAAAATCCATCATCGTCATTTTGAAGCCGATATCGTCGGAGTAGCGACTCCGACGAGGTAAATACATTAACTGAAAAACGAAAAAAAAAAAAAGGAACCGCAAATCACCTGCGGTTGGACCATGGCTGGACCGCAAATGACCTGCGGTTGGACCATGGCTGGACCGCAAATCACCTGCGGTTGGACCATGGTCCAACCGCAGGTCAATTGCGGTCCACCCATGGTACAACCGCAGGTCATTTGCGGTCCAGCCATGGTCCAACCGCAGGTCACTTGCGGTTGGGCATTTTTTGAGTTTATTTTTTTCGTTGAATAATTTTCTATTTTTTATATGATTTATGATTTTTTCGTTTGAATTATTAATAATGGATTATTAATAATAGAGTACATAAAGTAAATAATTTAAGATTTCCATGTAATCATTATTTACGTTACGTTCTATGTAATCATTATTTACATAAAAGTAAATAATTAATTAAGGTAAAATTATTAATAATTAAGTAGATAAACGAATTACTTTTAAATTTTTATTATTAAAATATTTAATTTTTTTATTATATTTTTTAAATTTGTTATCATTAATTAACATTTATCGAAAACGTTTTTCAAATTTTTATATCATATAACTAATTTTTTATTATTAATAATATTTATTTAAACACAGAATATTAAAAAAAACAGAATTAAAAAAAAAAATTCAACCGCGGTCAACGCGCGGTTGAACCGACGGCTGACCGCGGTCAAAGCGCGGTTTGACCATTGGTCAATCGCCCTTTGACCGCGGTCAGCCGTCGGTTCAACCGCGCGTTGCCCGCGGTTGACCGTCGGTCTAACCACGGTTTCACTGCGGGCGATTTTTTTTTTTTTTTTTTAGCTTCTTCTTCTCCGGCGCGACTGTGGAGCGCGAGATGCAGAGGGTCGGCGACGGGACGAGGCGGGCGGCGGGACGAGCGGCGATTGGCGGGCGGCGGCGGGACGGGCGGCGGCAACTTGGCGGGCCGGCGGCGGGTTGCAGAGGTCTCCGGCGGCGGGTTGTAGAGGTCTCCGGCGGCGGGTTGCAGAGGTCTCCGACGACGGGATGCAAACGAGTGAAAGGGCTGTTTGGTTGGCCTATTTTTTAAATTTTCATTAAGGATATATAGGTAAATTGAATTGTAAGTTAGGGCGACCTTTAGCAATTCTTAGGGCGACATTTAGCGATTCAGTAAAAACGTACCCCACCGCTTTGCCACTAAAATAAATTAATTTAGTTCATCGAAAACAAACCTCTTCCCAAACTCGGCGGTTGAAGGCAAGCTGGGACTTGGGAGCAGAAGCAGAAAATGCTACTCAGGAAAGTGCTGTTGCGGGGAGCTTCGGCGTCCCGGCTTCTCATTTCCAATAAGTCTCCGCCAGCGTCGCTATTACCTCTGGCTTCCGGATGTACGCGATTCTTCTCTTCTTCTACGCAATCGGAAGGGCCGAATGATGGTTTTGTGGCCGGTCAGGAAGGCGGCGATGAGCAGCCGGCTGCTACTATCACCGTCGATCGTTCCGGCCTCTACCATCCACCTGGTTGGTTTTTACTTCTCTTCCCGGTAGTCTAAAAATGTGACAGCGTTTAGGTAGAGGGGAATCATGTTTGGTTAAAGCACTTTCCTTTTCTTTGGTGTGTGGCTGTTGCAGAGCATTCTCATGAACCCACCACGGAGAGTGAGCTGGTTAAGCACCTTAAAGGCATTATCAAGGTTTCGTTCTCGGATTCCTTGACGCTACTACGCTTTTGTTGAGTTACTGGTGGTTGTTATTGGTTTGTTCTTGTTTATGTAGTTGTCTTGCGTAGTGAGCAGAACGTGTTTGTCGAAATGTCTGTGTGAATAGGAGGGTAAGGTTTAATGAAAGCATAACAAATGTATGTTTTTATTCTGTTTTTGCATTCTTATTGCACCTTTAAACCTTGGACAAATATCATCTGGAGAAAGAAATGTTGGGTGCCATAATCTGGAAAGTTGAAAGCTTTACTCCAGCCTAGAGTCTAATGAGTAATGCTGTGGAAGGCATAATGTTGGTAAACTGTTGGTTTAATTGATGGGAGTTAGGAGATCAGTGAGCATTAGCTCATGAGAGAAAAATAATTATACTTTCCCCCCGCATTTTGCTAAAATGGCTTTCATGATCTTGAAAAGATTAGTAAAAGGGAGAAAGAGGGGGAGGGGAGTTGTATATGTGCTACTCTTTCCGATCCATTGTCTGTTGGGTTTCTTGTGCCATGACTTGTATGGGCTTGATTCTGTTTATGTTAATCTCAACATTTCACATACTGCTTGATTCTTCGACGACTTATGGCTTTCAGTTTAGAGGCGGACCAATCTCAGTGGCAGAGTATATGGAAGAAGTTTTGACGAACCCTAAATTTGGCTTCTATATCAACCGAGATGTATTTGGAGCAGAGGGTGATTTCATAACCTCTCCTGAAGTCAGCCAGATGTTTGGGGAGGTAGTACTTCCTTAAGTTTGGGTCCTAATATTCTAGTTCATGTCGTTCAATGTTGGTATTGTTCATTGGTTTGACATGGGTTAGTTGGCTACCTCTGTGGCTAAAGCCTTTGCTTATTTGCTTCTCTGATGAGATATTAGATGATTGGTGTCTGGGTTATGTGTTTGTGGGAACAAATGGGACAACCCAAGAAAGTGAACTTAGTTGAACTGGGACCAGGAAGAGGAACTCTCATGGCTGATCTTTTGCGGGTAAGCTATTCATTTTCAAATCATGTAAACTGGTGAACTCTTTTTTTTTTTTAAGGAAACATGCAGAAAGAACCAACATATTGTTCTAAATGAGATAGTCTTATTAAATACCTCTCAGGGCACAGCAAAATTCAAGAGCTTCACGGACTCGATGCATATTCACATGGTAGAGTGCAGTCCAGTGTTACAGAAGCTTCAGCATCAGAACCTAAAATGTGAGAAAGTTTGCAATGCAGATGAAAATGGAGAAAAAAGCTCAGTTACGTCGATCACAGGAAGTCCTGTTACATGGTATTCTTCACTGGAGCAGGTGCCATCTGGATGTATGAACTTATCTTATAATACTAAGTTCCGTTTCAATTGCCACCGGCAGCATAAAAATATGATCTACCTAGTTCTTCCACGGAAAGCTTTGATTGCCGATTATATTTGCTTTATTTGGTAATGTTCCAGCACCAACAATCATCCTTGCGCACGAGTTCTATGATGCTCTACCTATTCACCAGTTTCAGGTTTGTAAATTTGGCTGCTCCCTTGTTCAACTGAGCATTTGGATGGTTTTGGAGGATCAAGATACTTTTCTGATCATCCGATAATTTGATGTTTTGCAGAGGTCTTCTCGTGGTTGGTCTGAGAAAATGGTTGACGTGGGAGAAGATTCAAAGTAAGCTTTCCTCTTTAGCTGCATCCAGAAGCACTGTTAGGCTTTCTGAACTGTGTGATTACAGCTTGATAATTCTTAATTTCTACTGCACTCAATTAGGTTGCGCTTTGTTCTGTCCCCTCAGCCAACACCAGCCACTCTTTACCTAATGAAGCGATGCAAGTGGGCCACTGAGAAAGAAGTAGAGAGTCTTAAACAAATTGAGATTTGCCCAAAGGCAATTGATCTGACTCATACAATTGCACAGAGAATAAGTTCTGATGGAGGTGGTGCCCTCATAATTGACTACGGCCTCAACGGAGTGATCTCAGATAGTCTGCAGGTGTGTTCTCTCACCATTGCTATTTCAATTATCTTAGAACTTGTCCAGCTTGTTTGTCCAAATCTCGTTCAATTTTTTGCATGTAGGCGATCCGGAAGCATAAGTTTGTCAGCATCCTTGACGACCCTGGGTCTGCTGATCTCAGTGCTTATGTCGATTTTCCTTCCCTCAAGCACACCGCAGAGGAAGCTTCAGGTATTCCCGCCTTTTGTTATTCTCGTGTTAAGCTTGTCATCAGTAACTCGAACTAATAAGTTAGATCGTTGTTGCCAGACAATGTAGCTGTCCATGGCCCTCTTACTCAGTCTCAGTTACTTGGTTTACTGGGGATAAACTTCCGAGTGGAAGCATTACTAGAGAACTGCACAGACGAACAAGCTGATTCCTTAAGAACAGGATACTGGCGCCTTGTAGGTGAAGGGGAAGCCCCGTTCTGGGAAGGGCCAGATGAACTAGCACCAGTCGGGATGGGTACGAGGTACCTGGCAATGGCAATAGTGAACAAGAAGCAAGGCACGCCTGTTCCATTCCAGTAGCTTTCTCAAAGCGCTTTTACAATTGAATAGCGTGGAATTCACGAACTTTATCAGCAGGATTGGAGAAGAACTCAGACATTTTGCAGTCCTTGTGGGAGAAGGATTGAAGAAGAAGAAGAGGGTTTACCCGCCTGAACGTTTCGAGTTTCGTTTGTTTGTTTTGCTTCCGCTTTTTGATAAGAACAATGTCGTTTGTGAATGGAGGGTAGGGATGGCAATTTCGACCTGACCTGTTTTACCCGACCTGTTTTGGGCGGGTCCGACCCGCCCCGTAGGCGGGGCAGGGCGGGCATGGGTAGTCTAATCGACCCGACCTGCCCTGAACCGCCCCATTCTCGACCCGTTCATGTCTAAATTACATGTAATCTTAGTCAAATTACTTAGAATTTTCCTTTTATTGCTTCATATTTTGGCTATAATAAAGTTGTAAATTAGTAAAAACCTCAATTTCTCCAATAATTTAACTACAATTTTCATAATATTGTTAGTTTTTTTAGTCTTATAATAAAAATAACGAATATTTCTAATGTTTTCATATAAATTGCATACCCATTGGGTCGACCTGCCCCGATCCGCGACCCGTGATCAATTACCCGACCTGGACCCGACCTGTCACGGGCCGGGTCTGGGTACCAAGAAACCCGCCCCGGACTTGTCCCATTACCATTCCTAATGGAGGGTTAGCCGTTAAGCTACAGCCTACAGCGATTAGCATTTGTAATAGCCAGTGAAACTTGGAGACTCTGTAATCTTGTTAAGCTATTTCTAACACAGAATAAATAGAAGAAAAAAAACTCTTAAATTTGTCGATGATTGTGTGTTAGTCTTTGTAATTCAAACACAGCACAACCGCTCATTTTTCTTACCTCGAGCATACTTGACAATCATTCATCTCACTCACAAATCACTCACTGACGAGAGGCAAAAACAACATTCAATTATTCTCTTTCGGCAATGATTAGACATTGGGCCGAAAGCCAAATTGGGAAATGCAGGATGGACAGGTCACAGGCAAATGGGCCCGTAAACCCACAAAGAAAGAAAGAGTTGCCCAATTGCTGATGGGTGATGGCTAATGAGCATATCCCATAAAGTTCTGGTTGCTATAGCTCTGTTGACAATCCAATACGATAATGGGCAATTATACAACCCATCTTCTTCCCTAGCATTAAGTGGCTGCATTTGGTTTTCAGTGACGAGACGACTACATATCACTAGTTTGATTGGTAATGGTAGCAGTAGCACAGTGTGTGATTCTCATCAGTGTTCCCCAGCCAACAACCTCACTATAGCTAATTCGATCGTCCTTTCTGATTTCCTTTTTTTGGGGTATATTCTTGGGAGCTGCTGGAAGATGCAAAGAAGGAGAGACATGACATGATATGCAGGCTCATGAACAACTTGATAGAAAGGTTCCTCTCCTGTGTATTTACTGTCAGCTCTGTTTCATGTTGGGGAAACTCACTTAAGAGTTACAGTAAGCCCAAATGAAGAGAGCCAAACCACAAATAAATAAATAAATAAAAAGGGAAAAAAAGGAGAGAGCCAAGTGTCACAAAAGTGTTCATTAAACTTTGAGATGTGTAAAACGGTAGTCACCCAAATGATTTATTTATGGTCAGATATATTTAATTAGCCTATATGACGTAGTGACCACCAACATAATCCCATAATATACCACATTTTTCTTTCTTTTCCGCATTTGAGATATAAATTCAACTATTTGGAGATTCAAACAGAAGAAATTAACATAAATTTTGAAAAAAATAATAGGTTAGAATGGAATGAAATTGGGATGACCAATCACCATATTACATGTTTTTTAATCCATGGTCTAGATTAGTTATTAGCAATTTTAAATTTTTAGGTTATCAAGTCACCTAAATTAATCTTGATTGAAATTACTATAAAAAGATCAATCTGATTAGTGTGTTAATAAGGCATGATATCTCACTGAATACGACTTGTTGACATAAGTACATAACAACCAACTCAATCCCATTGGTTTAACCTGCAGAGATCTTATTCATTTTATTTTTACATAGAACTAAAATGAATAATTATTAATACTCAAAACACAATTAAGTTAATAACTTATTAGTGAAGCCTCAAGATACCTTAATCTCCTCACACCGACAAATTATAAAAAAGCCTCAAGATTCCCCATTCAACATCTGCATGTCGACAGTTGGCATGCCTTCATAAAGAAATGATTTAATTTTGGTCACGTTCATGTTGTCAAAATACTGGTATGTCGGCCGATACAATTGGGTTCAATAAGCTGGTATTTGATAAAAATTTAGATGGAAAGCCACCATTATGAAGTCATATAGTCAAATCGGTAAATGATCCAAACTGAGAAAAGAGTGATCGACTGCAACGACCAATTTGCGACATCTAAATGAAATGACATCGTTTTAGTGGAATTAACTAACCAAAAAAAGTAGTTTGTTGGATTCAAATATGAACATTTAGATATTGATGCTATTTATTTACAATTATAAACGTTTGGATGATTGTGTTAAATATTGCATTTACATATGTTGATTTATCTTTTGTTTGTAATGTAGTATTTTATTTAAAAATGGATGAAGATTGTAGTAGATTATCTTAATATAAATTATAGTAACACACAATTCATTTGGTGTTAATGTTTCCCACATCCTCGTATGTTTTTATAAAAATTGACATATAAACTGATTATGTCCTGGCTGGACCATTTCATTTGTGAATCGGCATAAAAGTATAACCGCTTTAACAATCTTGGTCACGTTTCTTCTATTTATTAAAAACAAAGAAATGTCATGAGATCATGTGTTGAAACAAAGAAGAGTTTGCTTATGGATTTATTATCGAGTTTTGTTTTGTTTTGTTTTGATGACTTGTCCTGTTTGAAAAGTTTTTAAGTACAAATTAACTAAGCACATCTACTCCAGTCTTGATTTAATGTAGAGAGTCCAATTTATAGTGTGCACAAGTCACAACTGTAATGAGATAAATTCCGCGGGGCCAATATAGTTTAGTTGCCACTATCCTCTATCCCTTTCACCTCCATATTCTCCACTATTGAAAGATTAGGGTTATCCTCCACAGAATTCAGAAAAGCGAAAATCCCACCAATCTGTACTGTACTCTCTAAAATGTCCCCATCTTCTTTTGGGAATGTAAATAACTCAATTCCCTACCCTACATTTTGAAAAGATCAGAATTAATTCATATAAAATGTTGGTTCTTATTAACAGTTGGAAAATATTCCAAAAGCAAAATAATATATGATATCAAGGTTGCTTTCCACACAATTATTTTGTTTTATTTTTCTCTCACCATACGATCGAACTCTATATATAGGCGGCCAAGGACTAGAGTACTCAGAAACAGGGGGAAAAAATAGGCCCTTTTCCCATCCATCAATGTCGAGCTCCATGGAGAAGATAACTGATAATCACAAGGAAGAGAGGTTCAATTCCCTTCATGGTGATGAGGACGAGCCAGTTCCTAACTACAGAGGCATCAAGGCTATGCCTTATATCATCGGTAAATACACTACTAACTTCTATAGTCTTTTTTTGGCGACCAAATGATGATAAAACAAACTCGTCGCTAAAGGTTTTTTATTTGTAACCAACTTTCCCGTGGTTATTTTTATTGTGACCAGGAAATGAGACATTTGAGAAGCTTGGGACGGTTGGTTCGGCGACGAACCTGGTAGTGTACCTGACGACGGTTTTCAACATGAAGAGTGTCACGGCTGCCACTCTTATTAACGTCTTCAATGGCACCTGCAACTTGGCTACTCTTGTTGGAGCTTTCCTCTGTGATGCATATTTTGGCAGATACAAGTGCTTGGGCTTTGCCTCTGTTTGCTCCTTATTGGTACGCACTAATTTTGCACCTTCCAAAACCCTCTACCGGGCTGCTTACATTCTAGCCTCTCTCCAGTCTCCACTGATGTATAGTACTTTAGAAGTCAAGAAGTAGGTTGTATGAATAAGTTAAATAGATTCGCTTGTAGATTGTAATTAAGTAGTACGGTAGAAACCTTTTATCATCCCAATTTAGCAAGTCATCTCGTATATCTCAGCTATCTTATATATGGATACACAAATACTTGCGTTGCAATTATTGTGATATGTCAATTCAAGGGTCCTCTGGCAAGTGGACTGTGGAAGCTTGAAAGTGGTAGATTGTAAAAGAACAAAATGTTTTTAAAGTAGATAGCTTTTGAAATATTTGTGGGTGGTGGATAAAATGTTACTTTTCGATGGAACATTTTTTATATGTGGATTATGGCGATAGATTTTAAAAGTTAGACTAAAATATCTTATTGTACTTGGTAATAATATATCATCAAATTATGGAATTTGTGAATAAGGGTAAGGACAAATTAGTTTTTGCAATATCACCTCATATATGTGATATTTTAAACACCTATATTAAATCTCAACCTTACAATCCACCATTAGAAAAGACAAATTCAGGTAAACTACTCTAAACAGATCTACTTGTTGATAGATTTAGGGCAACAATCCACAACCAAAATTCATTTCAAAACGACGACGGATGAATATCTATGTCTGTCTTGATGAATGTGATCTACTATAAAAGGGGGGGGGGGGAAATTATCCACTCTTTAAATTTCTTAGTAGTCTTAGAGGTTTAGATGTTGGATTATACTATGTGGGGTGTAAACAAACCCAATATTTGTTTGTCTAGTATATGAGGTGCGGATTTAGTAGAATTCACAAATTCGGGGGAAAAATTCTTGGAACTAATGGATTTGGAGAATCCACCTATTAAGGCAAGACCACATGATGTACAATGACCCTTAATCCTATATTAGTTGTGTTATTCCTATTTTGCCCTCATCAATCTACAGGCACAATAAATTAGAGTTGGAATCGTGATGAGTATACCAAAGTAAATTTGTCTTAATTCCATAATTGCAATATGAACACAATCCATCCTAAATCAAACATTCCGGAAAAAAAAAATTCAAAGCCATAAAATTTCAAGCCATAACATGTTTAATGTACTCATGCAGGGCATGCTAATTCTAATGCTAACCGCGGCAATCCCAAACGCACACCCACCTCACTGCGCCGCAACAACTTGCTCTCCGCCAACACCCTGGCAGTTCACCTTCCTACTAGCTTCCTTCCTCTGCCTAGTCATCGGCGCCGGCGGGATCCGGCCATGCAACCTGTCCTTCGGGGCCGACCAGTTCGACCCGAGATCCGAATCCGGTAAGAGAGGGACTTCTAGCTTCTTCAATTGGTACTACTGCACCTATGCCGCCGCCGTGATGGTATCTGTTACAGGGATTGTCTACGTTCAGTCAAACATCAGCTGGTCGATAGGGCTGGCCATTCCTGCTTTCCTAATGTTCATATCTTGTGCCCTCTTCTTTTGGGGTACTAGAATTTATGTTATTGTTAAGCCACAGGGGAGCCCGTTGACGAGTGTAGCGCAAGTGCTTGTTGCTGCTTTAAGGAAGAGGTCTCTGGAGTTGCCTGAAGATAGTGGGGCTCTGCTTTTTGACTATCATCCTCCTAAATCGATTAACTCCAGGCTGCCTCGTACATCCCAGTTCAGGTACGAATTTGAAACAGAACTCCAAACCTTAATACAATACTTGCAATTATCTTGAATACATGCATTTTCTGTGTTTCTACGGTTTGAAGTCAGATTATCTGTCATTTACCTGCTGCACTTTTCTTCCTTTTCTTACCTTTTACTTAATATATTATCATCTAAAAAAAATTTTAAGTACCAAACCGTAATTTTGCAATGATATTTTTCATATGAAAATAAATTGTAGGTATCAAAATGTTAAATATAAAAAGTATAAGTACAAACCGTAATTTGTCATTTGGATCCATGGATTAATATGGATTGGATTATGTGGATATTTTGGTGGATAGATTGGATTGGATTCATGGATATGGATCCTAAGTGTCACTGTACGTGCAAATATCTTGAATCCATGCATTCTTAAAATACAGGTTAAGGTTGGATTATCTTTCGTTTACATGAAGTCACGAGATCTTACTGACTTCCATAGTGTATGGGCTTATACACATTTGTTTTGCTCCCATTGGGTCTGGTCTCTAACCTTTTTCTTTTCTAGGTTGGATTAGAGTTAGACTGTCTAGAGAATGTGCTATATATACCTTCTCAATTTTTGTAATCAGTATCTTCTCAAGTGTAGTGAAACTTGTCTCTCCTTCTTGTGGATTAGCTGACACACGTCAGCAAACAACGTAAATATGTGTTCGTTATTTTGTAACATTGTCGATTTCCCATTTCATTCTAACAACATGTATCACTACCAGGTGTCTGGATAAAGCTGTAATCATCACAGACAGTGACAAGATCAACCCAAATGGCTCGCCCAACAAACCATGGAGACTCTGCAGCATGCAACAAGTTGAAGAAGTGAAGTGCATAGTCCGAATCCTCCCCATATGGGCATCCACCATAATCTTCAACGTTCCTCTCTTGCAACAACAAACCTATGCAGTCTTCCAAGCCCTTCAATCTGACAGACAACTCGGCCATTTCCAAATCCCCGCAGCGACATACGTCCTCTTCACCATGGTAACCCTAACCATATGGATCCCAATCTACGACCGCATCTTGGTCCCTTACCTCGAGAAAATAACCCACCACAAAGAAGGTGGTGGTGGGTTGACCCTTCTCCAAAGGATGGGGATTGGGATGGTGCTAGCCATCGCGTGTGCCCTGGTTTCGGGCGTGGTCGAAGTGGAGAGGAAGCACATGGCTCGAGCTTCGCCCACTTTGGGGGTTACCCCACAAGGTGGAGAAGTCTCCACCATGTCGAGCATGTGGTTAATCCCACAACTGGTGCTGGCAGGACTAGCCGAGGCATTTGGCTACATTGCGCAGATCGAGTTTTACTACAAGCAGTTTCCAGAGAACATGAGCAGCATCGCACAGTCGTTTTTCTTCGTTGCATATGCTTTGTCGAACTATTTGAGTGGGTTTTTGGTTTATGTTGTGCATAAGGTAAGTGAAGGGAGTGAAGGTGGGGACTGGTTGGCGGATGATTTGAATAAGGGGAAGCTAGATTGGTTTTATTTTGTGATTGGTGGGTTGGGAGTGGTGAATTTTATGTATTTCTTGGTGTGTGCGAGGTGGTATACTTATAAGGGTGATTTGAAGAGGTTAGGCGGGGAGATTGATTTAGAAGGGAATGTTTGAAAGAAGCAGGGGATTTCGGTGTGTGTGGAGTTGTAACTTGTAAGAGTTGAATAAGAAAGGAAAGGCATGAGTATCGTTATGTAATTTTGCAATTTTATCCTATTATAAAGAGATTATTTGTTGGTTGGATTTGAAAAAAAAGACATTTTTTTTTACTAAAAAGAAGGTTTTGGAAAATCCAAGATTAATGATGGATTTGGTCCATTATGGATTTCAAAATTTCGTTATTTGCTTGTTGAATATGTTTATGAATTTTAGAATAATGGATTTATCACGTTAAATGGTAATTTATGGTATTACCATCACATAACGGAACATAACACATTTGAAACACCGTAATTATCAAAAGGAATCGCCAACTTAAACTCAACGTTCCTCCTGCTAATTTTTTTATAATGGCGATATATGTTTATTTTTGTAAATAGGTGCTATTTAATCAACCTAAACAACACATAATCAACATAAAACTTCCATCATTCCTTTTCCATCAACCTGAACCACACATAATCAACATAAAACTTCCATCGTTCCTTTTCCATCAACCTGAACCACACATAATCAACATAGCTACCTCAAATATGTAAATTCCATGGATTTGACATCCATCAAACGAACAAGAAATAACTTGGGGTTTAGTACAAGTACATGGGATTTTGAATTTTGGATCACAAATCCATGACTCAAATCCAGAAACAACTTCTAAGTAGTTTTAGATATTGATGATGGATTTGAATATAAGAGGAATATGTTTGCAAGCCAAAATTGATAGCCTCACTTGTAGGATTGAAAGACTTTATATCTAGTAATACGAACTTTGTTATGGATTGTGGAACCACTTGAAATTTGATGTACTTTTTAAAATTTTCACTGCAAAACTTTCTAATTTTGTAGTTATGGGGGCGTTTCAGTGGGATTTTTTCAGTAGTGGATTCTTGGTCAAAATCTACTACCAATACCAAGTAGATTGTTTTCAAATCTTTTTTTTTTTATCAAAATCTCTTATTTGGCTACATATTTTTTATGTGGATTTTTTGTGCCCTAGATTTTAAAAGACACTGTGAAATTGATTTTAAAATATCAACCTTTAAAATGGGAAATTATAACAATTCTCCACTTTGTGACCACTTTACCCTTGCTTAATTTTCAATGATAAAAACAAAAGATGAGCTAGGGTCAAAGATTTTTTCCCCCTTGTTCATCATCTTATTCGATGAACACTTTATTTTCTCTCTATATATTTGCTTGCGTGAGGAGATATAATGCCTTCTCTCTGATTGAAGCCTTCTGCATCACATTCTCGAACTACAGAGAGGACTAGGGGAGATCGAAGTAGTGGAGTTCCAACTTCCAAGCCACCATCATTGTTTTTCCATTCTTCTTCTTCTTCTTCTTCTTCTTGTATTGTCAACTAAGTAAATGGCTCCATCATATCCTTTGTTAGGTGGGACAAACCTATACGTATGGTGTACATAGGAGTAGACTAAATTGAACGGATCGTATGTATTTGCAAATGTGTATGGTCACTGCTATATGTCAAGTGGGGGAAAAGAAATGGATGCATACCCAAAAGCATAGCTATGCCAAAGTGCCATAGTTCCATAACTAACGCATAGCTCTGAAAGGTTATTAAGGTACGTGTACGGGGTGGCTATACGGTCCGGTCCGGTTAAATTGGTCCAAATTGATCCGGTCCAGTCCGGTTTTTTTGAGAATATAAGGATCGAAGATTGGATTGGATACAGTCCGGTCTTGATCCGGTCCGGCCCCAATTCGGTTTTGATTTTATATTGAGATTGTGGGAATTTGAGTGGCCTAAGGCCTAAAAGGGTGAGGAGTTGGTTAAGTTTTGTACTAAGTGTAAAGGTTTGTGACCGTTTATGCAAATTACCCTTAAGTTTTGGGTGTTGAGCTCTCTTATCCGGTCTTTATCCGGTTTTTTACCTCAAATCTAAGCCCAAAGATTGGATTGGATTGTTTACTATCTGGTCCCGGTCCGGTCTCGGTCCGAGTTATACGGTCTGGTTTCCGGTTTTTCATCCGGTCCCGGTCCAAATAGCCAGCCCTACGGTGTACCCTTGCGTATTTAATGAATAGAAATTGTTAACTTTACAATTGTTTATATATCTAATGAATAGAAATCGTTAACACATTTAAAACCCGTATAACATCTTTAATATCCATATTTAATGAATAGAAATTCTGAAATTGTTAACTTTACAATTGTTTATATATTTATTTATTTTTAAAATAATTAATTATATATATTTATTACTATTAACACAATATTAAAAGTAGCATCAGTTTAGGAAGAAAAAAAATACTTTTACGTATTTTATACGTAACTTTCCTGTATTGTATTTTATTAATTATATTTCAAACATGCTATTATATTCCGTAATATTTTTGGGTTTCTTGGTAGAAAACCCCGTAATATTTTAATATCATACATTCATTAAGAAGTGGTGTGATGTCGGGCAACCTTTTCTGATAAACAATGAGGTTTGGCTTCCAAACCCAAGTTGGGTATATGTAATATGTAATATTGACTATTCAACCTCTCAACAATAGATTCCCATAACCTGTCACTGCTACACACCTATAATCAAATAATAAAATTTAACAATAATAATCATTAATTTATTACTGTTAGCACGTACGTGTACATCTTGAGTTCATTTATTTATTATAATGCTCCGTTTAAAGTCTGCCGGCAATATGATTGGTTGATTGGCCTATTAGGCGGGCGGCGTCATGCATAGATGCTCAACGAGTCAATGTATACTGTTATCTTCTTCCTCCTTGAATCTATATTATAAATATCTACTACTTCACACTTCCCTTTGTTCAGAGAGAGAGAGAGAGAGAGAGAGAGAGAGAGAGAGAGTTGATTTGAAACTGAAACTCTCTCGCCAATGGAGGAGACCAGAAACAGGAAGAAAGAGGATGAGGAGGAGTTCTCAAATGGTCATCACCACAAAGAAGGTCATGAAAACGAAGAAGATGGCGAGGAGCCAGCAGTCAACTACAGAGGAATTAAGGCTATGCCTTACATCATTGGTATGATCCTTCCTCCCATATCAAATCTGGAGTTGCCTTAATTAATATTGCTCGCCCTTGGTTAACTCGTTTTTTTCAATCTAGATTTTCTTTCGGTTGCTTGCTCTTCGCTCTCTGTGATTTGGTTGATCCGAAAAAGGAAAAGTTTTTAGTGCGTACTTTGATTAACAAATACGTTAATTTTACACTATTTTGTGAATTTCAACAACCAAGTTTGTGTATAGTCTTATTTATTCATTTTTTGTCTTCGAATTGAAATAATGGTTCAAATGGATTACTAATAGAGTTGATACATGATGAATAAAGTGCATCTTTTGTTGATATTAGAAGAATCCATTTTTCGGGTTCATCACCGGTTTAAGATAAATTGAGTCAAACCGAAAAAGAGTAGACCAACATTTGTTTAGTTGGTTGAGTTGTAAGTTGAATTGGTGAGAAGGAAAGAGAGCAATGGTCAGAGCTTTGTCGACGAGAAAATAGATTGCAATTTATCAACTAAAATGGGATATTACGTACAGCAAGATACTATCATATTTTATTGTTTAGAGTACGTACAATATAATATAGGGACGTGTTGGATAAAACAACATATTACAAGGACTAGAAATGCAAATATTCCCTAGTTATAGACTTATTATAGTCAATTGGTTCTTGTCAATTCATTATTAACTTAATTTATTACCTAGAGAGTAGTTGTTGATACGGTACTATTTTATGGTGTGAACTATGAAGGGAACGAGACGTTCGAGAAGCTGGGGACGGTGGGGTCGGCGTCGAACCTGATAGTGTACTTAACGTCCGTCTTCAACATGAGCAGCGTCTCCGCCACCACGCTCATCAACGTCTTCAACGGCACCTGCAACTTGGCCACTCTCGTCGGCGCTTTCCTCTGCGACACTTACTTCGGCCGATACAACTGCCTAGCCTTCGCCTCCGTTTCCTCCGTCTTGGTACGTAAGCACTACTTATCTTTAACGATCAATCAATCAATCTGCAATTTGGTGGTTGGTGATCACTAGGGACAAGATTGGTTGGCAAATCGGTCAACGATCACATGTACGTATGGGCCATGGCAACTTGATCACTATGCTACAAACATGTATTCTTTGTCCCTAGCGCTCCTGCTAGTCGTTGATTTATGAGTTAAATATTTAAAGGAAGGGGGAGAACGTTGATTGATGGGTTTGGTGACATAATATAATGCTTTCTCTGTTTGGGAAGAGGGGTAAATGGGAGCCGGGTGCAAATGTGAGGGGTAAACACAGTTTTCAAACACATTTGCACGATGTTTGGTTAAACACAGTTTCCAGATTTGCATGATTGAGGTTTTGTCTCTTGCTATTTTATCTAGCTAGTAATACTCCATTTAATATGCGTATATATGAACGTATGTATATCTTTTTTTTTATTTTTAAATTGTTTCATTTTTCTCGGTCCATGGATCATGTGCTAACCACATGTAAAATCTATATAACACATTTAATATTCACACTTAACAATTAAATTGATAATTTGTACATTATATATACATATGTATTTATATTTAAAATCATTAATTTAATTTATTTATGTCTATTGATGTACTATTAGACATGCAATAATTTATATAGGGATGAAATAAGATATTCATATGTAATTTACTGTATTTTATTTTTGTCATAATGTCGCATATATTGCTTAAAATATTTTTTTTTCATGCGAGTTCAAGTTAAACACGTTATTCCGTGCCTGCTGTATAATTTCTCTAATAAAAATTGTATAATGTTGTGAAACGGAAATAATACAGGAACTAAATTTAAACACCATCAACCTTGGTTTAATAATGTTGTTTTTTTAATTCCATGCTTTCCCTTCTCATTGTAATTAACACTTTTGCTTTTGGGCTTAATTACAGGGAATGCTAGTACTAATGCTAACCGCCGCAATCCCCGTCCTCCACCCACCAAAATGCGTCCCCGGCCAACCATGCTCCAAGCCAACCGCCGGCCAGTTCACGTTCCTAATAAGCTCCTTCATATTCCTAGTCATCGGCGCCGGCGGCATCCGCCCATGCAACCTAACCTTCGGAGCCGACCAATTCAACCCGAAAACCGAATCGGGCCGAAAGGGAACCAACAGCTTCTTCAACTGGTACTACTTCACCTACACCTTCGCCGTCATGGTCTCCGTCACGGGGATCGTCTACGTCCAGTCCGACGTCAGCTGGGCCATCGGCCTCGGAATCCCAGCCTTCCTCATGTTCCTCTCGTGCGCGGTCTTCTTCTGGGGCACGAAAATGTACGTCATCGTCAAACCTCAGGGCAGCCCGTTGACCAGCGTGGCTCAGGTCCTCGTGGCCGCTTCCAGAAAGCGAACCTTGAAATCACCTGAAAATCCCCACGTCGACGAACTCTTCAATTATTTGCCGGCCAAGTCTTTGAACTCCAAGCTAGGGCATACCACGCAATTCAAGTGTCTCGACAAAGCAGCAATCGTCACGGGACGTGACGAGTTCAACCCCGAGGGCTCACCGAAACAGCCGTGGAGGCTCTGCAGCGTGCAACAAGTCGAGGAAGTGAAATGCGTGGTTAGAATTATACCCGTGTGGTCGACTGCCATTTTGTTTCACATCGCCATAATGCAACAGCAGACGTACGGAGTGTTCCAAGCGTTACAATCCGACCGGCGGTTATCGACCTCGGGGACGTTCCGTGTACCCGCGGCCACGTACATTATCTTCACCATGCTGGCTCTCACAATCTGGATCCCGGTCTATGATAGGATCATCGTCCCTTACCTCGAGAAGGTTACTGGTAAAGAAGGTGGCATCACGATGCTGCAACGCATGGGGATCGGCCTCATCCTCGGCATCTTTTGCATGGTGAGCAACCAAACTTTGATATAATAACATCTTGACTTGGGCTATAATTTCAAGTTAGATAACATGCTCGTCTACGCTATTGAAAATATATTAAAATCAATTCAGACCGATAATATTGGTGATCAATGCTACCGGTCATTATTTATTGACGTTTTATAACTTTTACGTAAAATGCAAATATATTATGTGAATATTACAGAATTATAATTGGTTCATACGTAACAGTTAATTAAAAGCATTATGTAAGGCTTACGTAATGACTTAGCATTTTACGTAACGCGAGATTAACATTCATTCATTATGTAAAAGGAACGTCCATTACATAAGAATTTCATAATGACATTTTACAGCTGTTATATAAGATAAGAATACGTCATATAAACATTACGTAACGCCTATTGTATTTTATGTAATGCGTCCTGTAAACACGATACAATAAATAACAGGAAAAACAAATTAATTTGCGATACTGTAGGAAATATCTAAACTGATATACTTTATGTGTTTTATTACTGAAACCACAATACGATACTTGTACAGATCGTGTCGGGGTTGGTGGAAGAGTACAGAAAGCACATAGCAGCGACGAAGCCAGGGCTCGGGATCGCTCCAAAGGGCGGCACGATCTCATCCATGTCAGCGATGTGGCTGGTCCCGCAGCTGGTGCTTACTGGGCTGGCGGAAGGTTTCAACTACATTGCGCAGGTGGAGTTTTTCTACAAGCAGTTCCCCGAGGGGATGAGGAGCGTGGCTCAAGCGTGTTTCTTTGCCGGGAATGCGCTGGCGAGTTACCTTAGTGGGTTTTTGGTGTCTCTTGTTCATCATATTACGAAAGGGAGCAAGCGTGGGGATTGGTTGCCTGATGATTTGAACGAAGGGAAGTTGGATTACTTTTATTTCATGTTGGCTGGGTTAGGGGTGCTGAATTTGGGGTATTTTTTGGTTTGTGCTCGGTGGTATACTTACAAGGGAGATGGGGAAGGGTTGGGGGAGGTGGAGATTACTGGGAAGGAAGACACGAAAAATGTTCATCTTGCTGTTTAGTTAGGATGATTGACTTCAACTTGTGGTTTGTAAATGTATTATTGGCGTTCTTTATATTACTAAGCAAATGCAGTTAATTAAATAAGTAATTAAACATTGGGTCCAATCACGAAATTCGAATACGAAATGTTTTTATCGATAAAGTTATGCAAATATCTTGAAACACATGAAAAACTAGCTTAGGCTGATGTAGCAGATCGAAGATTCCCAAAATGTAGCTTAGTCACTACTACTATGTACCTCAATATTAGCACACAGCTATAGGAACTTCATGTACCTCAACTGTATACCCATATTCACACAGATCTCAAGCGCCTGCGGATCAACTATCAAACAGTCAAAGCAACGATCAACGTAGCCGTGGTTGCTAATCAAAGGTTCCCAAAATTAGTATGAAACACAAGAGAAACCCCACATCTCTTGATCTGGCAAGGCTTCATCTCTCCGCGTTTCAACTGAAGGCTGAAACGGAACGAAACGTCTCGTCCGGCATGTTTCAGATACCAAGCTTTCCCTTCCTCTTCCTCGTCTTCTCGATCTTCTCCAGCTCTATGGTGAAGCCACAGAAAGACATGGTCGGTAGCCACACCGCCGTTGAAGCTTCCCATCACATTCATACAAATATTCCACGACGCCACCGCATTAGTACTAGTACTCGAGCCACCGCCAACAACGTCCAATTCATCGCTCCCACCACACCCGTGGCGGCCGCCACCGCAGGGTTTCGTGAAGCACTCGCTTGAAATGTGCATGTGCATGTCGGTCTTCTCTTCGTCGCCGGAAATAGGCGGCTCTAGAGAATAGACTACGGCGAACGCAAATAGCTTCAGTCTCTTGCAGTTTCTAGGCAGAGGAACCGTCACCGAGTTTCCTGTGCTTTTGTGAGGGAACCATTCTGGAAGCTCGTCTCCTGGGTATAATACCGTTGACGGAGGTATCTCACCTCCAGCACCACCATACTGTAATGACAACAACACCATTTCACAAACATTAGCCACCAAAAAGAACTTTTCGGGACCAAATTCAAGGAAGCATAAACCAAAGCATAAAGACAATTAACCAAACATTTAGCTAGCTAGCTGGGCATACGATATATGTACATACCTTAATTCGTTGAGAGACATCCTGAAGCGGCAATTTCGCCAGCATTCGTCGGAGCAACTTGCGGTCTAACTGGAGACAACCAACCAAGTTGAGGTTCAAGAAATGGAGCTTGCTAAAGTTGTTGCTCGAAACTGTTTGCAATGACTTGCAATTACTGGCGACTAAAAGCTTCACATTGAGCGGAAGTTCGGGCAAAGAACGAAGGCTCTCGCAGCCCAGTAGATAGAGTTGAGAGAGGCGATCGAGCCTGCTGATCGCACCGGGTATAGACTCCAACATTTTGCAATTAGTCAAGTCCAGCGTGCGAAGCTGGTCCAGTTCTTGTATAGACGAAGGCAACATTCTGATAGCTGCACCAATCAAAGCTAGTACCTCCAACGACTTGAGGTTGCTGATGCTGGAAGGAAGGCGCCTGAAAGCTCTGCAGTCTTCTACTACAAGCACCTTCAAGCTCGAGTCGACGATCGAGATTTCTGGAATTGTTTTCAACATTTGGGAGTCCATGATGAGGAGCTCTTTTGTCACCATTTTCCAGAGGTTTTTAGATAAGGTGGCAAGGTTCGAGTTCCCGACCAGCTCCAAACGAGAGATTCTCGGAAGAAGAAAATCACGATGATCGCTTGGCAGTATCTTTTGTATGGCGGTGTGGCACAGTCGAAACTCCTTAATGGATGGAGAGAATCCATCTGGCAAGCTGGTTATGCTTTCACCGTGGAGGCTGAGCTTTCGGGCTTCTTTGACTTTGTGGATTGCGACAGGGAGGGTTGTGATTGGGGTGCCACGCAAGTCTAGGGTATCCCAGTTGCTTGTGAACTCGGGGCATTGGTTGATTTTTCTGCAATCGTAGAGAATTACGTGTTTGAGGTGTTTGGAGTCTAGTTTAGGTGGGAGGATCTCTAGGTTTTCGCAGGCTCCGAGGTCTAGCAAGGTTAACTTGTCTAGGTATTCGACAAAGGAGGGTAGCTCAACTATGGTCTTGCATCCTGTGAGTTTGAGAGATTCTAGATGTGTGGCTTTCGATAGATCAGGGACGATGATGAGGTTGGCACAATAAGATAGGTCAAACCACCTCAAATTCACGAAGTCCTGTAAAACAATATTGCATATGAAAGAATAAGTATTCAATTTTCTTGATGCAAATACACAACCACTAGGACGTCAACAAAAAAAGAAAAGCATTTTGCAACCAAACAAGGGTTCACCAAAAGTTTTTCTTAATAATATTGACCACATCTATTTAGAAAAGTGTCAATTATATATAGAGCAAACAACCACCCTCCAAACCAACGACTAGAAAAAGAGGCCGAACACCCACAAGTGCAAAAAGAAACAAGACAGAAAAGTGGAGCCAATGAGTGAGAAAAGGAGGCCAAACACCAAAAGCTCTTTTTTTTAATGAGACCAAAAGCTCTTTTGCTTATAGTGAATTATCATTATTGATGAGATATAGCTAGTACTTGTTGGAAATTGAGAGGTAAAAGATGAGAAGTTAGTACCTGAACTCCATCCCAACATTGTGCAAGAGGGCTATGACGAATACAAAGTTCAACCAAACTGTTAGGAGAAAAGTTTGAAGGCAAAGATGACGAAGGAAATCCATCCCACCATAGCATCCTTAACTCATGAGGGAGTGAGTCTAGGCCAGATTTCGAAAGATGGATCTTGCAAGTATGTGCATTGTTTTTAGATGAAGACGACGAAGAATCTGGCCATGAGAATTTGAGAAATCTAAGTCGATCCATCCCCAAAAATGCATCGGATCCCAAGTGCATCTCTTCTGCTTTTGACAAGTCCAAGTTTATGCCTTCTGTAGCTCTCGCTCCCTAATTAGCAAATGTGCATGAAAAGAATGGTTTACTATTGTTAAGTGAAATCGAAATTGAGAAGTAGTATGTACCTTCCGTGCAGTGAGTAACTTGCGGACGTCCTCTGCATTCTCAAGACGACTGCGGTTCCCAAGATCGGATTCCTCACTAATAATGTTCCAAGCCATTTCGTGTAGCAAATCATGAACCTCAATGATCAACTCGTCATCGTTGCTATTGGTCTGGTGTTCACATATCAACAATGCCTTATCAATAAGATCTTCCACTCGACTATACGCCGAGTAATAGCTACATGCCATCATCTTAATCAAATGTGACTTGGAGTAATTCCTTCGGAAGAAACAAGCAATGTCAAGAAACATCCTCTTCTCATCTCCTCCGAGCTCATCGTAGCTCCTCCTTAGAACATCGTGAATCTCCCGCTTTGGATTCTTCCGTAACCCATCCAAGAAACTTTGCCAGTAACTCTCGCTTTTCCTGAAGAGCGTGCACCCTAAAACCCTAAGAGCCAAAGGGTTTCCTTGGCAATATCCCACTGCTGTAACTGACTGGTATCTGTTAAAATATATTAGGATAGGACATAACCACGTTAGCAATTCTATAATGGCTTGAACTAGTTAAACATGCGCTAATTTGAAGATTTTACCTTCTACTGGTTGGTGGAGTCTCTTGCCTAAAAGAGTACATGCTGAATAATCGAAGCGACTCTTGAGGGCTAAGCTGCTCCACGTGGTATATCCTAGCCATTGCAACTTCAAGCACTTTCCTGTTCCTCGTCGTGACGATAATTCTGCTCCCTAGCGCAAACAACTTCGTGAGATTCAACACATCGCCGAGGAGTAAGCTTTCTAATTGGGACAAAACTTCAACGTCGTCCAGGACAATGAAAACCTTCAACCGAGATAGTCGAGCCCTGCGATAACTTGTTTCCAAGTCTCGACTGGTGATGTTTTGGTCCTGCTCGGAGAGGAGGGTTGAGTAAAGCTCCTTTTGTAGCCCTTCCAAGCCATCTCGTTGCCCTTTCCATTTGGCATTGATATTTGGGACGAAATAGTGCTTGTAGCCATCTTCTTTGGAGAAATTGGTAAGTCGTCTGTATAAGGCTCGAGCTAGAGTGGTCTTGCCAATACCGGGCATCCCCCAAAGCCCGACAATTCGAATGTCTTCTGAGCGGTTGACATCGAGCAGTCGCTCCACCTCCCACACACGAGAATCAATGCCCACTAAATTTTTGGGCTCGAGGCTTGGAGACATGTTGATTAGCTCTTTCAGCACGTTGTCTACAATTGCCTTTATTAATTGCGAGTCTAACCTGTACATACGAATATATTCAAAGGAAAATATATAAGTTCAATAATAAAATATACATATAAATGGCAATTTCAAGTGTTGTTTTTTACTCAATACAAGATAAAGAGAAAAAAATTGAAAAAAGATTTAATGGGTTCGGTTAATAAAAAATTATTAAGATATCTTAATGATATCAGTTGGGTTTCAAGAAATCAAACAAGTTTTGCTATGTTTTTTTTGAGATACCCTATCTCTTATTTTTAAAGATCTTTTTTGTTTTCATTTTGTATTAATTTTTCAATTTCAAGAAATGGATAAATTAAAATAGCTTAACGACTTTCAGTTCGATTTAAGCTAGGACAAGACACGCCTCTAATGCGCCAGTTTTTACCTATACTCAAATTCTAAAAAATTTAACTTTATTTTATGAATTAAATTTAAATTTTAGGAATAGTATTTTTCATAATTAACAATTAAGCCAGGAAAACACCGATGTTAAAAAGAAAAAACCAGGAAAACACAAGCCTCTAAAGCATGGTTGTCAAACCGGTTTTATGCCGGCTGGTTCAACCGGGTTCAACCGGTACCGGTCAGGAAACCGGCTGGAAAGGGGCCGGTATTTAATTGTGGTCAAATCCGGTCAATGCCGGTCAGATCCGGTCAAATCTGGAAATTCCGGCCGGTTAGACCAGAAACCGGAATTTAATGTTACACACATTATATCCAAAAATAAACATCCTTCATAGGATTTGAACCAAGTACCTCATGTTCATTTTAGTTTAACTTATACACCAGTAGGCTACAAGCAATTTTGTTGTCTATATTAACCTTATATGTTATATATCTAATACTAAATTTTACACAAATCATTATAAACATTAATAAAATTCATTTAATAAAATTTTATTTTTAAGCATCTAATTGTTTAGTATTAGTTACCAATTCTTAGCTATAAATTATTTTGTGTGAAATAATTCTTCTAATTGCTTTTTCATGACTAATTTATTTGGAATTGAGGATTTCCATTTTCCTCATGTATTTTATTAAAACCGGCACAACCGGCATGAATACTGGTTGTATCACGATCAGACCATTCCACTTACAAAACCGGCACACCGGCATAAACCGGTTTGACAACCTTGCTCTAAAGACATCCATGTGCTAGATGATACATTATTACTACTTACTTTATTGACAAGTGGTCCTACCTAGCAAAGTAATGTGATTTGAAAAGGTTGGCATGTTGTCGGAGATGCTCTAAGCCTCTAACTTTACTTATTCCTATAAATAGTTAATTACTACTTTAATCCACAGTCAATTATTCGAAGAAAATAATTAGTAGGTAACTAATTACGCACCTGATCTCGTGAGAAGTAAGGCCGGCCTTATCAACGATCTCCTTCAACGCATCCCTCCACTTCAACTTCACCTTCGGGTCACCGTACCGGCCGCCGGAGTGCTTCTCGATCATGGCGGCGTAGCTCCCGGTGTCGCCGTCTACCTCCGACGGGTCGACGTTGTAGAAAACCGGGATCACGCGGTGGCCGAACTCCTTCATGCTCCGGGCGATGGTGGCCACCTCGTCGAGGCACCACGGCGAGTCGGCGAACCTCTCGGAGAATATAATCACCGAAACCGCCGATCTTTTGAGGACGGAAAGAAGTTCCGCTATGCTCTCTCCTTTGCCCAGCATGGTGTCGATGAAGGTTCGGATCTTCTTCTCCGACAGCGCGGCCATGACGTGGCTGGTGAAGGAGCCACGCGTCTCGCCACGGAAGCAAAGGAACACGTCGTACTCCCATGGCCCGTAGTACACGCAGCTACCGGAAGAGGCCGCCATGGGATCAGTGGGAGAAGAAGAAGAGGAAGAAGAAGAAGAAAATGGTGAAGACATGGCTTAAGGACTATAGTTTAATTTCTAATGCCTTCCTTTTCTTTTGCTTTAGTAGGTATAGAGATGGTGAATTAATTTAATTAGCTTTGTTGCCTTTGAGCTTTACACTAGTGGCCGGCCAACAACGACAAAGTCTGCTCGGATTATGTAAAAGAATATGACTTTGACTGGTCATTACAATTATTTAAGGAACTGGGGTCCTAACTTGGGAAATGGTTTGCTAGCGTGTATTAAGGTATGATGTGAGATTTATTTTTTGAGTATTTTTTAATTATTTGAAGTATTATTTGAATGCTTTATGTAGATGTATAGGAGGGTGGACATACTCCTAACACCCTTTAGTGCACCATGCTAAAATAATTATTAAGAGTATTACGATTATTATTGTATATGGTTGTTATCAATCCCTCTTCCATTCTCTTGTTTTTTTCAATCTTTCACCTTTCATTTTCGCCCTCCACTGTGGAAAAAAAAAAATCAGCAAATTACTTATAAAAAAATTTATTTATCATTATAAAAAAATTATTTCATCATCATAATTTTTTTATTACTTGCATCCCTTATAGTATTTTTTATTTACTTCATGAGATTTCTTGTTTAGTTTCTCGTCTTTCTCATTCTGCTTCACCCCAGAATAGTTAGTTTGGAGTCAGTAAAGCAAAACCGACCCAGCATGATAGAATAATATAGTAGACAAAAGATAATAAGATAAGGTTTATCAACAAAAAATAAATAAATAAAGAGATATAGAAGGAGACGAACTTTGCATTTGTTCTTTTGTTTGTCCATTTCTCTTTACCGCGTGGTAGCTGAGAGCAACGCAACCAGACAAGTCAATTCCTCAAACAGTTACATTTTGTCTACCCAAAACGAAGAATATATTTGGGTTGTAGTTTCAAAGTAGATGAGATGTGCCTTAGAAGATTAGATTTCTTCGATAATATAAGTTGAATGTTGTATTTTTTATGAAACAAGACAGAAATTTAGGGTGCGATGAATGATTACTTATTATGATAGGATGTTTAGGCGAAAAATATATATGATTATATACAAAGTCCAAATAAGAAATATATGAGACACAGAGTATTTCCACTAACAATCAATGCTAATGGGCCAAAATGGCTTCAGTCAAAAAAAAAAAAAAATGGGCCAAAATGATCCTAGCTAAATATATGTAATTTTGAATTCAACATTTTCAAACTCTAACCAAGCACACTCTTAATCCATTGCCATTGTTTCTCCTTTTTCTCGATCTTCAACTTTCCATCTTCCTCCTCCTTAACCTTCTCAAGTGCTTCGACTAAGTTCCTCAAACACTTCTCCTCACTATCCTCAACCGATTTTGGCAGTAAATTCTCTGCAACGTTGGCAGGTGTCATTTTAATCTCTCTCAACAACTCCTTAACTCTCCCAAACAAACTATGTTCTTCTATGTCCAAGTAATTCTTGGCTAGAATCTTAAACGCCTCGAAGCAACAGTACGACATCTCAATGTGCATGTCCATCCTTCCTCTCCTTATCAATGCAGGGTCAAGCTTGTCCACATAGTTGGTCGTGAACACAATGATTCGTTCCCCTCCACAAGCCGACCATATACCATCGATGAAGTTCAGAAGACCCGACAACGTGACTCTGCTATCGCTTTTGTTCTCTTTCTCTTTCTCCTTCAATGATTTGGAAACAATTTTATTGCTCTTTCCGCCTGAATCATCGTCGGAGTCGGAGTCATCTTCACTGTTCTTCTTCTTTTCGGACTTTCTTTGTCCAGTGAGATCTAGCGAGCAATCGATGTCCTCGATCACGATGATGGACTTCCCCGTAGTCTCGAGGAGTAGCTTTATCAGCTCCGAATTGTCTTTTACAGTAGTCAACTCCAAATTGTAAATGTCATAGTTCAAGAAGTTGGCTATAGCCGCTATCATTGTTGACTTTCCGGTTCCCGGAGGACCATAGAGAAGGTACCTGTTAGAATAGAAAACAAAATATACAAAATAAATTAAATAATGTCTTACTAATTAATGATTGTTCCAGACTTCCAGTCTTGGAAAAAGTTATTGTGCGCATCATTGATGAAACTGAAGATTGAATCAATTGCAAATAATTCAATAAATAATGAGAAATATTCTAGTTGAAATCATCATAACTTCTAAATCATGATATAATCATATAACATAGCAAAATCATGATAAAATTGTATTGATATACTCTCCCCAATCCACTCGTACAGTTGACAAAACATTGACTTAAACTTCAATAACCCAATTTGCAAGTTGAGACTGATCAATTTGGTTTTTGGTTGAAAACTTGAAATTGATACTAATAAATAAATAATACTTATTCTAATGAAAACATCAAGTCAACTAGATCTATATAGAATTCAACAAATCAACCACTTTGAGGGTTGAGACTACTAAAAATCCCAGAGAGAAAATTATTGAAGTACATAAAGAAATACGTTGAACATCATCGATATCAATTGTTTTTTATTTTAAAAATCTAATTAAAAGAAAAATTGCCGGAATAATAATTAATTAATACATACCCTCGCTTCCATGGTTTGCCAATCTTAGCGTAATAGCTCTTCCCTTGACTAAACTTAACCAAATCCTTCTTAATCCCTTCTTTAACCTTCATCGGCATCGCCAGCGTGTCAAAGCTCGCCGGGTGCTCAAACGCCACGGAGCTCCACCCGCACCAGTTCCGGGTCGGGTTATTCGAGTAAAGCTTCCTCTGCCTATTACCCGCCACGATCGCCCTCCCTTCGCCCAACACGTGTCCCATGTACTCCCCAACAACCAACTCCCTATCCCTCTTGTGAAAAGTCAGCACGTAGAACCTCTTCTCGTCGTCCTCCGGGTAAAGACTGATCGACTGGGCCTTCGGCGACGTCTTCCTCGAGGCCCACCAAACCTTGACCCCGCGAAACACGTGGGACACTTCCTCGTCCTCGTCCATCGAGAGGACGAGGGAGCGTCCGTCTTTCGAGGTGTCGGACGCCTTGAGGGATTTCGCCGCCGGGGAGGTGTGGGCGGTCAGGTAGGCGTGGATCATGACGTAGGCCTCGCTGCGGCGGTACCGGCTGGTTCCGGAGAGTTCGGGGAAGCGGATTTTGATGTAGGGGTTGAGGAAGGAGAAGAGCTTTTGGGTGTGTTGGGTGAAGATGCCGCGGAGTTGCTCCGGGAGGTATTTTTCGAGCATTGTCCAGGCTGCCATTAGGGCGATCAGCGAGGAGCCGAGGTTGGTCCAGAGCTTTAGGGCTTCCATCTCCCTTCTCTTCTTGATTAGCATCATGGTGGGAATTTTTGTTTGGTTGGTTGTTGTTGTTGGCGAGTTGTGGGTGAGAGGTAGATAGGAAGGAAATGTTTAGGAAGAAGGTAATAGTATACTTAAGCAAGTTTTGGGAAGTAGTTAGTGAAGCGAGATGAAGTTGAGGTGGCAATTTCAGGGGGGTTTCGAGGAATGTGTGTCGAGGTTAATGTATACCATATCATGCTTCTAACCGCGGGGGGATGTTAATAACCTATGGCACCTAAAGAAGCCTCATTCTTTAATGAGAAAGACTTAGACTTCTTACACCAAAGATTCCGTCATTTTTTTGACAAAGAAAAGAAAAACGGAAACGCGCCTAGCCGGCATTAATGTAAAAGCGGGAACAAAAGCGGAGAAAGGCCATGAATATGATTTGCCATTTGAGAATTGGATTGTCGCCCTCAATCACAACAACACGTATTTACAGGACCGCCAAGAGTGATTAACGTTGTAAGATATGGAGTTGTAACGACCAATTTGAAGCAGAATACGTTTATGCTTTGGCCAGGGGCCAAGCTGACCATTTCCTACTTTTAGTGTTGGTGGGACATATGCAGCTCACCGGTGTTGAACAATAGCCCTACTTAAAGGAAAGGTTCAGTCGCCCAAAACTCAAAAGGAAGTAATTGAAGGATTAGGCCGGGGAAAAGAATACTCTTGGATACGCACACTTGATTAGCCATTGAAAGTTTGAACCGATCCTTGATGAACAATATTTGCAAAATTAGGTCAAGGAAATAAATTTTCTCGTTGTTGACATGATATCAAACCTTTTGTAATTGTGTCTTCTACTCGAATCCCAATGACGGCGATGGATTATGGATATCTGATACATGTGCAAACTTCAACATTATAAAATTTTGACGCTGCAAAAAGAAGAGATTTTTCCAGAAATAGCACTGTTAAAAAAAAAAAATCCAAAAATAGCACCCAACTCCGAAAAATTCCGAAAATAGCACCATTTTTTTTAAACCGCCACCCGGAGGTGCGTTTTTCGATGAAAACGCCACCCGAGGGCGCGTTTTTCGATGAAAACCGCACCGGTAGGGAGCGGTTTTGCAAACCGCACCTCCCGGGTGCGTTCTGCCTTTTTTTTTTTTTTTTTTTTTGCAAACCGCACCCCCAGGGTGCGATCTGCTTTTTTTTTTTTTTTTTTTGAAAAATCCTAACTAGGGATGGCAATGGGTCAGGTCGGGGGCGGATAGTGCATATCCGTTACCCTACCCAAAGTACTTCGGGTTTTACCCATACCCATACCCACATGTGAAACGGGTAGAAAATCAAAACCATGCCCATACCCGTTCGGGTTTCGGGTATCCACGGTTATCCATGGATATTAATTTCTCTTCATTACCCCAACCAATATGTTAACACTCACACATATTCTTATATTAAGTAAGAGAAAAAGTACGACAAGAATTCACTAGAATGAAGAAAATTAGCTAAAACAACACAATTCCATGAAAATGTTATATTTATATGCTAAATATAAAATATGTTAGAGAAAAATAATGATTATTTCTAGACATTGTCCGCAATTGCATGTGTATAATCGGCGGGTTCGGGTCGGATAGTGAGAAACCCATGCCCACCCATTGTCCGCAATATTCGGGTTCGGGTTTTACCCGTACCCACTAAATGTCCTTCGGATTCGGGTTTTACCCTACTCGACTAGGCCGGATTCGGGCGGATATCCACGGTTACGGATATTTTTGCCATCCCTAATCCTAACTTAGGTGGAAACTTCAAACAAACGTATCTTTATGTTCGGGTATCCGATCGCCGCGATTTTTTTTTTGATTCCGCATAACTTTTTGAGATCTTGCAAGCCGAAGACTGCCAAAGGTGGTTTGGTCTCACCTTCGAACCAAAAAATGTCGTTTGCTACCCCGAACGAGCATTTTTTCGATTTCGTCAAACTTTGAACGACCATAACTTTGTGCTCCACAATCCGAAAATCATGATTTTTTTTTTTGATTTTGCATAACTTTTTGAGGACTAAAATTTTTATCATAGACATAATTTCGGAATGTACTTGGATTCCTAAAAAGAAAGGTAAACTTATTCCCAAAACCCCGTATATCCAAAATAATTCATTTTTTGAAAATTCTCTCCTAGAAAAAATTGTAGTCCTCAAAAAGTTATGCAAAATCAAAAAAAAGTTCATGATTTTCGGATTGTGGAGCACAAAGTTATGGTCGTTCAAAGTTTGACGAAATCGAAAAAAGGCTCGTTCGGGGTAGCAAACGACGTTTTTTCGGGACGAAGGCGGGACCAAACCGCCTTCGGCATTTTGCGGCTAGCAAGATCTCGAAAAATTATGCGGAATCAAAAAAAAAAATCGCGACGATAGGATACCCGAACATAAAGATACGTTCGTTTGAAGTTTCCACCTAAGTTAGGATTTTTCAAAAAAAAAAAAAAAAAAAAAAAAAGCAGATCGCACCCTGGGGGTGCGGTTTGCAAAACCGCTCCCTACCAGTGCGGTTTTCATCGAAAAACGCGCCCTCGGGTGGCGTTTTCATCGAAAAACGCACCTCCGGGTTGCGGTTTTACAAAAATGGTGCTATTTTTGGAATTTTTCGGAGTTGGGTGCTATTTTTGGAATTTTTTTTTAAACAGTGCTATTTCTGGAAAAATCTCCAAAAAGAACTATGATTTTTTTCCAATAGTAATGACAAATTTAGTTGTGTTATTATCACGATAATTAAAATTCATTCCAACATTAGTAACAAAGTTAATTGTGCTATATTTTGCATAGTTCGTGCATCATCAAATTTAATTGACAATACACAGAACTATTCAGTTCTAACAATCAATACAATAGGCCGCATAGGGTAAAGATTATCCATGGATCATTACATCTCTATTCTTTGAGGATATAGTATTTTTACTTACCAAGAGCCAAGAGGAGGTATCTTACTATCTCTTGTGCACAAAATTTAGTTATGGCCTGGATAATGAACATAAGATGGGCCGTGGCTTGGGTCAACGATGAGTTAAGAACGCACTGGGCCTACGATTGGGTTTGATTATCTCTTGGGCTAAACCGGCATCCAGTTCCTTTTATTTCCCTTTTTCCGCGTCTTTTATAAATTATAATCTATACTCTATAGTCAATCATTAACCCGAAAAAACCAAATTGCGCATCACTCCAATTCCATAGCTGCTGAAAGAAGAACGAGAAATTCCCCTTGTCTCTTCCGAACCTCTGAAAACCACCGACGATGGGCTCAGTACTCTCTAACATGCTCGGAGGAGGCGAAGGCGCCGCCGCTACCGGTGAAGACGACTCATCGTCGGGCGATCACTCCGGCGTCACAAAGTTCCACTCCGCTGCCCGCTGGCAGCTCCACTTCAACTCCCTCAAAGATTCCAACCAGCTGGTAAACCCCTTCCCTCTCTCTCTTCAACCAAACTCAAATTTCTTCTATCCTCTTGCCTAAATTAATTCAGCTCCCAATTGAGTTTTCCGTTCGTGGTTTGGTTTTGGTGAGAGCAGCTGGTGATCGATTTTGCGGCGTCTTGGTGCGGGCCTTGCCGGTTCATCGAGCCTGCGGTGAACGCTATGGCTGCGAAATTCACCGACGTCTCCTTCGCCAAGATCGATGTGGATGAATTGCCCGTACGTATTCCTTTTACTATGCTGTTTAGTTTTGACTTCCATTTTGACCGACTGGAAAACCTAAGGTTCTAATTTTGACTTTAGTTTATAATCTGATCAAAAGCTTTGATTGATTTGGTTTGGCCGGGTGGATGGATGTGGGAAATACAACAGGAAGTGTCGCAGGAATTTGGGGTGCAGGCGATGCCGACGTTTGTGCTGGTGAAGAGAGGGAAGGAAGTGGACCGAGTGGTGGGAGCTAAGCAGGATGAGCTGGAGAAGAAGGTCTCCAAATACAGGTCTGCTTGAGTAAACACAGCCCTCTCTTTTTTCCTTATACCAATGAATAGAGCTGGCTTGCTCTTCAGTGTATCTGGTCTGGGATCAAATGTTCATAGAGGTCTCGGTGTTCTTATTTCATGACAAACTTTTGTGATTGCTGAAGAGGAATGGTGACAAATGACTAAAGTGTTTGTGTTACTGCTGTCTGATTCTGGTTGGGAATGTGTATTGACTATGGTGATTGGCTCAGTGGACAGGATTATGAATGGGGGAGATTCGGTATGTTATTTTCATTTGCTGAAATCTTTTAAGGTCTATTCGTTTCGGGTCCAGTTAGGAGTTGAATGGGATGTGTATGCACGAACTGATATTGTTGGATCATTGGCTCGGAATGATATGAACAAATCTCGCTTGTTGTATGCAATGGCGTTATGTCCACTGTTGCTACCATGTGTAATGGATGGTTGAAAGCACACGACGGCGGGCCTGATCTGATGCCCTAGCTTAAGATTGACGACACTCCGTTTCAGCCTCGTAGCAAAATTCAGCCTCGTAGCCTGTAAGTGAGTGGAGCTAGAACGCACGTTGACTAGCTTAAGCTGTGGGTAGCTTCTGATTGAGCATGATCTTGTTTCTATTGATTGGTGGTTGTAAACAAAATAGTATTATGTCATCTATCGCCTTTGATCATTGAAATTTGAAGGAGTAGCTTTCTGTTGCTTGGCATATTGAAGGTCAGACCTCTAGATTGGGCCGTGGAAGCCCAATAACAAATTTGCTCCTTGGCTAGGAAGGCCGAGTCAAAGGCCTCCAACCTGACCCAATAGATTGGGCCTGGTAATGCTTGTTCATCCTCTCACCTCTGAGCAATAGGGGTGGCTATACGGTCCGGTCCGGTTAAATTGGACCGAATTGATCCGGTTCTAGTCCGGTCTTTTCGGGAATATAAGGACCAAAAATTGGATTGGATACACTCCGATCTTGATCCGGTCCGGTCCCAATTTGATTTTGATTTTAGATTGAGCTTGTGGGGATTTGAGTGTTGGGGTCTCTTATCCGGTCTTTATCTGGGTTTTTTACCTCAAATCTAAGCCCGAATATGAGATTGGATTGTTTGCTATCCGGTCCGATCCCGGTCCGGGTTATACGATCCGGTTTCGGGTAAAACCAAACAGTCCTGTACCAAATTGCCAGCCCTACTGAGCAGTCTCGTCGGATATTCGTGTCTCTTTGTAGTTTATTCGGCCATAACAGGACAAGTATACCTCTAGCAGTGGATACAGAATTACAGATGCAGTAATACAATCAACTTGAATTGAAGGGTCCAAAATTTAGTATACAAAATCAAGCTCAGTCCAAAGGGTTCTTCCCTCTACAATTTTTATGATTATATGGTAGTGAGATGGATCGTTGATCATTTAAATTGATGGTCAAAACACGCGTTCGATCAATTGAGTTAATATGGTATACAGTTGAGACAAGTACAACAATATGATAAATCACGATCTAAATGTACTTATTTGGATATAGTTCGGATAAGGTATTAACCCAAATAATTTCGTGGAAACATTTCTAACAAATTGTACAATTCTTTATTGAAGATTATTTCAATCACACTAATCCATATATGATATATTATATACACAAATTGTAAAAGAATTAATATACTCTAAAGAATATAAATACGACAACAATTTACTAAAACGATCATATTAATCAGATCGCCCTCAATATGGAATTACTAGTGGAACCTACGTCTATTACTATAAGGACAAAAATTTGTCGCTATTCAGATTTTTGTTGAGAAAGGGAAAATTTACAACTCAAGGCACAAATCCATCTAGTCCCGACTCTCACATCACACGCTACGGCGCCCCTCATCTCTGCTCCCGCATCTAACCGCCACCACAACTCTTATCAAAACCTCTCTCTCTTCCTCTCCCGCCACGTGACTTCGTCGGCTGTTAATCATACCAATCGCCGGTCACTCTCTCCGCCTCTTTTCAATCACGCCGGCGCAATAATTACAACTACTGCGGAGTACGGACACGCCTACACTTTTCCAACTCCACCTGCTGCTTTTGCTTCTCTGCACCTCTCCCCATCGCCGCTTCTCGTCCTATACAGGCCAGCGATATAACCAGGAAAGACGACAAAATTAGAAGGTAAGGTGACGGCAATGGAAACTACTCTGCTGCTGTGGCCGGCGTTTCTCTAGCGTTTTGCTTGTTATGGTGACTTGAGCTTCAGTAGGAAGAGGAGAAGGCAAATCGCTTTGCTGTTGAGTTCGTGTTTAGGGCGCTTAAAATGGCGGTGGAGTACACTTGCTGTAGCTCCGAATTCTTCATTCACATTCTGATAATCGTGATGCTGGTGCTGTTCGCCGGCATGATGTCCGGGCTCACTCTCGGCCTCATGTCTCTGAGTCTCGTCGATCTCGAAGTCCTGGCTAAATCCGGCACGCCTCAGGACCGTAAATACGCCGGTAATTTACTCCATTCCTCCCTTTTCCTTTTCGATTCGTTTTCCGTTAATGTGTTGTTTGGAAGCTGAGAAAATCTGAGAATAAGGGGGGAATTTTCCGAACGAAAGAACAGGTGTAGCTATAGGCTATTCCTTTTCTGTGTTAATGTTACTTTATGTGTTCTTTTTAGGGTTCACCATCAATAGAATAAGGAATTGGAAGTGGGAACTTATGATTCCTTTCTGATCTCGCTTGGCCATATTGGGGTTCATCTTTATTTTGGTTTCTTTTTCTTTGTCTGGTCCCTGGTGGAAGCTGCATGATACAGATACTATTGTCAATGTTCTCTTGCGAATTGCGATTCTTTGTCCTTCTTCTGTGAAAGCCCCTCAGTATAAAATTCCCTGTGATGGTAACCTAACCTTTCCCACTATTGTTTTCACGTGTAGTCCACTTGTAATAGTGGCATTAACTTTAGTAGTTTATTTCCAAACATGCCTGGAGTTGGCATATATTATAGGGTCTGGTTTGTTTAGTCATTCTGAGAAATCTAGCAATCTGGCTAATATGTTGAAAACCTTGCTCAGCTTTCCATTAGGCCTGTCTGGATAAGTTAGAGATGCAAAGACTTGCATCCTGAATATGGGGTTAATGAAATCTGAATAAGTGCATGTTTGGAGCTCATTCTCTGGGGGGCAAGGGAAAAGTTGGGGATTTAGAATGAGTGGTCTTTTTGTGTTTGTTGTTAAGGATATTTGGAGGATGAGTTTTATGTTACAATTTCATTGGTATTTTTCCATAACAGGTTTTTGATTTATGATTAGATAGGTTGGTCTCATCTATATGGTTTGACTTCTAAATGAACCTGGGTAGTTAGGTACTATGCTCTGGACAATTGAGGTGGTACCAGCCAGGTTCAGATTATGATGCATCTGTTACTTGTTCGTTAGCGTTAATCTGTTTCTATTTAACTGAACTCGATATTAGAGGAAGATCCATTTATGTTGTTTTCCCATCTGCTTCTCAAAGTGATAGTGTCTGAAACAGTTACTGTATACACTAGTCAATATGAAAACAGCAACTCGCATTGAAATGACTCTTTGGTTCATATGCCTATGCATTATGCTGCTTGTGTGATAAACATATGAGTCCCTCATCTTCTTCAGATTTTAGCTTATATAGGGTGATAATATGCTGATTACTTTGTATTTGTTTAAACAGCAAAGATACTGCCAGTTGTAAAAAATCAGCATTGGTTACTCTGCACGCTGCTGATTTGCAATGCTGCTGCCATGGAGGTACATAAATGGGCTCTTTCTAATCTTTCAGCCAGGCTGTCGAATTGTACTTGATTCTGCAATGATTATTTCTTTTATTTTTTCCAGGCACTCCCTATTTTCCTCGACAGCTTGATTACAGCATGGGGTGCGATCCTCATTTCTGTTACACTGATTCTGCTGTTTGGTGAGGTCAGAAATCAATTTATTCGATTTTGGTCTCTGAATCAGAAAAAGAGATAAATGCACTAGTTGTTTTTATTTGTACTATCACAAGCTGATGTATGAGTTCCACTCACCATGTGAGCAGCATGCTTGACTATTATTAAGAATAAGGCTCTTCTATGATGAGACATACTTTTCCTTTGAATCTGGAACTGTTATAGGGAGAATTGGAAGAATACAATTCAAGGGCAAGTTTGGGTGCTTGATAAAGTTATGTTTGAAGAATAAATGAACTCTGTTAAGCAGTAGAGTTGTCATTGTTGTCTTTCCTGTTAAAAGGGATAGGCCACTAATTTGATAGTCCAACTGATTAATAAACTTAAAACGATATAGGAAAACAGGGTACTATTGGATATCACTAAATCTCTGAATTTTAATGTAGATTATACCGCAAGCTGTATGCACCAGATATGGTCTGGCAATAGGCGCAACAGTGGCCCCCTTTGTCCGCGTGCTGGTGTGGATATGCTCTCCCATTGCCTACCCGATAAGCAAGGTTAGTTGTGCAAGTTTAAGCCTTGCTTGTAATCTCTGGTCTCACTTAATGATGGTGACTCATGTTTTATGCCCACGTCAGCTTCTGGATTATCTACTGGGTCATGGGCATGTCGCTCTTTTCCGCAGAGCTGAGTTGAAAACACTTGTGAATTTCCATGGTAACGAGGTGAGTCGATAAGATGTTATTCTGTGTTCTCCGCAAGCCATATTCGATGTTCTTTTTTAGGGATGCTCAATTACTGAAAGCACCATACCTCTGTCTCTTTAGGCGGGAAAAGGTGGAGAGCTGACTCATGATGAGACAACAATTATTGCTGGAGCGCTTGAGCTCTCAGAAAAAACTGCTGGTGATGCAATGACACCTCTCGCTGAAACTTTTGCCATTGATATCAATGGCAAGCTTGACCGGTAAGAAAACTTGAGTGAGTTGCTTCTGTTGCATAATGTCCAGATGGTTTAGAATTTTTTTGGCCTCTTCTTTGCAGTGATCTGATGAATATGATACTGGAGAACGGGCACAGCAGAGTGCCTGTTTATTATGAGCAACCAAACAACATTATTGGCCTTGTTCTGGTAAACCAATTATTCGTTCTATATGTTTGGATCAGGACTTAGTTTTGTTCTTTTGGTTGCTATTTTCTATGTGTATTGGTTATGGTTAAGGACCGGAAGTAAAATAATTCTCAAGGTGCTACCTAAATCTTAGCATTTCTGGCTTCACCTTTGAATCAAGTATGTTCTTGTGATTTTACAAGTACATATGGTCTCTGCCTTCGTCGCTGCAGTTGAAATAATGTAATGGGTTCTGTATTGTTGATTGCTGAAGTACCAAACAGATTCTCTAGTTCTATTTTGTTCTTCCATATGTCGATCCATTTTTCCATGTTATCTATACCGGATCGATCATGTTTTTGGTGTCTTTGACAAATATGCATGCATGATATGGTGACTCTTTGTTTCTTTCGAGGAGTGATTTGTTCTAGCAGACATTATGGTATCTATGCTTGTTTAACTGCCTTTCCCCATTCTCTTAGGTCAAGAATTTGTTAACAATCCACCCTGAAGATGCTACACCTGTAAAGAATGTGACCGTACGGAGAATCCCCAGGTGCATTACTTCAGTATAGACATTTATTACATGAAATAGATTGGTTAAATTTTGACTGAACCTTTTCTTGTTTTATTTTCATCATCAACTGATGCTTGGTTTATGTCCTCAGGGTTCAAGAAAACTTACCCTTGTATGACATACTGAATGAGTTTCAGAAAGGCCACAGTCACATGGCTGTTGTCGTGAGGAAGTGCAACATAACCGAACAGCTGCCCACTGATGGTTCAGCTAATAGTAAGTGCTGCCATCTTTCCCAAAAGCACTAGTTCTATATCTCATAATTATGTCGCTGTAAGAGGTATTGTTCTCTGTTCTTGCCAATGAATGAAAACAGTTCCAGTTAAAGAAGTGAGAGTAGATGTGGACGGGGAGAAGCCACAGGAGAGGTCATTAAGGAGCCACAAGTCTTTCAAGAAGTGGAAAAGCTTCCCCAACAGGAATGACTCATTTAGGGCGTCAAGGAGCAGAAAGTGGAACAAAGAAGTCGACTCCGACATCCTGGAAATAGATGGCAAGCCACTCCCGACGCTTCCTGAAGAAGAAGAGGCTGTTGGCATCATAACCATGGAAGATGTCATTGAAGAATTGTTGCAGGTAGTGACACTTCTTTTCCCCTGCTTCCCTTTTTCGGCTCAATTCTCAGATCCTGACAATTTTTCATTTTGTTGTCACTCAAATAGGAGGAGATTTACGATGAAACAGACCATCATCACGAGTAGCATTGGTTCAAATTCATAATCGAAGCGGTTTACATTTATGTATATGATCAGGAGAAATGTATTCGTTGAGACTGTTAGGAGGGTTTGATCCTCAAAGCTTTTGGCCAGAATATGTTTCTGCGAAATGTCAAGTGTAATCATGTTTTAGTGTTTTGTCCGTAATCCCTAGATGGAGAATATGTTATGTAATAGATCGGATTGAGCTGAGACGGATGGGGAAGTTCATGTATTGCCCTGAAAACGAAGGGCATATATAGTTAGGGGTGTTAGTCGGTGCGGTTTCGGTTTAACCGCACCGAAATATCGGTTAACCGCAACCAAAATTGTCCCAAAATCACTAACCGAAACCGAAACCGATAGAGACTTCGGTTAACCGAAAACCGCAAACATCGGTTTCGGTTTTCCCTTGCGGTTAACCGAAACCGCAGGTTCTGGTTCACTTTCTCGATTTTCGTTCAGAAACCGACCACCCGAAACCGAATTTCAACCACCTTTTTTAATGATTCACCCTCAATTTTGAGTGACCTGCTTTTGTTTCAGCCTCTATAATCACACACCATAAAGTCATCTAAATCAATTGAACATAAAGCCTAAAGCAACCACACAATCAACCACAACTCCACAACATAAAGTCTACATGCCCACAATTCAACCACAAGTCACAATCACAACAAGACACAAATAACAAGTTCATTATCTCCAAATCATCAACCTAAATGATCCGAGGATCTCGCTCCAATTCATCTAGCCCATAGTCATCATTTAATCCAAGATCTTCATCTAGCCCATAGTCATCAACAACCTAAGGTTCACTCTATCGAGTGCAAAGGGGATTTAGAGAGGGGTGACTTTCGAGTTCTAACTCTTAAAAACATTTGAGACTCTTGATGGAGGGTTGTTTGCAATAGGTGAGAATTGTGATGTTTGGAATTGCAACTTTGATTGGTTTTGAATCTTACAACTTTTTCCCTTAGCCAAAGTAAAAAATCATGTAGTCACACTAGTAGGCGGTTATCGGTTTTCTTATCGGTTAACCGCTAACCGATTAATCGGTTAGCGGTTAACCACTAACCAAAATACTACTAACCGAAACCGAAATCAATAAGGAAGTAGCGGTTATCGGTTAACCACTAACCGACTTTATCGGTTCGGTTATCGGTTAAAACTAATAACCGACTAACCGTTTATCACCCCTATATATAGTAGTGCTATTAGGATGGATATATACGGGCTTCCTTTGGATGGGTATTTCAATGAGAGATTTCATCACAATTTCTCATTATATCGGATTTTAACTAAATAACTCTTTTGATAGTACGAGAGATTTTAAAATTCAAATTTTTTTTAATCTATAATTGAAGATTTTTGAAATACCCAATTCCCATTAGTTATTTTGAAATTTTCCATTGTCTAATTTATTCTATCGATTATGTCCCTTTAATTTTTAAAAATTTCGGAAGTACCCTCACTAGTCACTCCCATTCATAGTTAGTAAATACTTCGTTTAGTACACGTATATGTATCCTTACGTATTTTATCCATTTAAAACTTTCGTATCCATATTATTGTCAAGCCGTTTTATTTTTTTCGTTCATTTGATGGCTCCCGTACACATATAAAACCCGTATAAAACGTTTAATATTCATAATTTAATGAATTAAATTGTGAACTTTACTACTATTTATTTATTTATTTTTAAAATAATTAATTTTTATGTATTTATGACTATTAACTTACTATTAAATGTAATATTAACTTAGAAACAACGTAAAATACCCATACGTATATTTCACTTAACTTTTTCATATCGTATTTTATTAACTATGCCCCCATTGTTCTTCCTCAACGAAAAAGAGACCCTTCCTCTTCTGTCCTCCCACCATAGTCGTTTCTCCATCTCATCGCTTTCTTTTATTCCTCCCACCTCTGATAAATTTTCCCCAACTCCACCATTGAAACCCCTCTCCTCTTCGCATCCGCCACCAATAGTGACTTCTTGATTCCCCGTCCTCGTCGGCGACCCCCAAATCCCAAAGAATAAAATGATTAGGTTGTCCATTAATGAAACTTTACTCACTAATTTATTTATTAAAAAGGAAATTAATGTTCTTGTTTGTGTTCTCAAACTTGAGTGGTTGTTTATCAACTAATTGACCCCATCATTAATTGAGATTTGCGTGTTGTTGTTTAGGTTCAATACGAGTTAGGCATGTTGTTGTTTAGGTTGGACATAAGTTTCGCATGTTGCCTTACTATAAAACGATATGTCTACTTTTCATATTTGATATCTAATGTGTGTTGCTGTTGTTAGGTTGGACATTAGCTTTCTCTCTCTTAGCGTAAAAGAAACACTTTACTTACTTCAGTTGCATGGTTGAGGCTGCCTTTGATGATAAAGCGTAGGAGTAGAAGATCGTGTAGATCAAGCGGGCATAGGAAATTATGGGCAAGTTCGAAGCAAGCTTTGAGCTTGTTTGCCTCAACATTATCGGCCTTGTTCTGGTAAACTGCTTATCCATTCTATATGTTTGGATCAAGACTTAGTTTGTTCATTGGGTTACTATTTTCTACGTGTATTGGTTATGATTAAGGACTTGAGTTATATTACATGATCGTGCTAAAATAATTCTCAGGTTCTAACCCAAATTTTAGCATTTCTTCGTTAACGTTGAAATAATGTTTTGGGCAATATATTGTTGATTGTTCAAGTACCAAATAGATTATCTAGTTCTATTTTGTTCTTCCAAATGTCGATCCATTTTATCATCTTGTTATACTTGATCGAGCATTTGCTCGTGTCTTTGACAAATATGCATGCATGATATGGCGACTCTGTTTCCTCGAGGAATGATTTCTTACTATTTACCCATTCTAGCAGACGTTATGGTATCGATGCTTGTTTAACTGCCTTTCCCCATTCTTTCACGTCGAGAATTTGTTGACAATCCACCCTGAATATGTCACACCTGTAAAGAAAGTGACCGTACGAAGAATCCCTAGGTGATTACTTAGTATAGACGTTCATTACATGAAAATATATTGGCAAAATTTTGAATGAATCTTTTCTTATTTTATTTTCATCATCAACTGATGCTTGGTTTATGACCCCAGGGTTCAAGAAAACTTGCCCTTGTACGACTTAATGAATGAGTTTCATAAAGGCCAGAGTCACATGGCTGTTGTGGTGAGGAAGCGCAATAAAACCGAACAGTTGCCGTTGAGGATTCGACTACCAGTAAGTGTTGTCATCTTCCCCAACAAGTACCATTTTCTATCTTCAGATTTTAGCTTGTGTGATATATACATAAGTCCCTCATCTGTCCATTGAAAGAATGTTTTGGTTCATATGACTGGCATATACATTGATTTGCTTGTGTGATATACACATAAGTCCCTCATCTTCAGATTTTAGCTTTATATAGGGTGATAATATGTTGATTACGTTGTATTTGTTTAAACAGCAAAAGATACTGCCAGGTGTAAGAAATCAACATTTGTTACCCTGCACACTGCTGATTTGCAATGTTGTTGCTAGGGGTGGCTATACGGTCCGGTCCGGTTAAATTGACCCAAATTTATCCGGTCCAGTCCGGTTTTTTTGAAAATATAAGGACCGAAGATTGGATTGGATACAGTCCGGTCTTGATCCGGTCCGGTCTTGACCCGGTCCGGTCCCAATTCGGTCTTGATTTTATATTGAGATTGTGGGAATTTGAGTGGCATAAGGCCTAAAAGGGTGAGGAGTTGGTTAACATTTGTACTAAGTGCAAAGGTTTGTGACCGTTTATGCAAATTACCCTTAAGTTTTGGGTGTTGAGCTCTCTTATCCGGTCTTTATCCGGTTTTTTACCTCAAATCTAAGCCCAAAGATTGGATTGGATTGTTTACTATCCGGTCCCGGTCCGGTCTCGGTCCGGGTTATACGGTCCGGTTTCCGGTTTTTCATCCGGTCCCGGTCCAAATAGCCAGCCCTAGTTGTTGCCATGGAGGTACATAAACGGGCTCTCTCTCATCTTTTCGCCAGACTGTCGAATTGTACTAAAGCTCGGAATTTTTGTGTAGATTCTACCGCAAGTTGTATACACCAAATTTTTGTGTAGATTCTCTCCCAGTGCGATAATAGGGGCAGAGCTAGGTAGTCTCTAAGAGGCACCCCCCCCCCCAGAATTCTAAAAATAACTTTGATAGTCGTCGATAATCTTTCGAATTACGAAAAATCTAAAGGACATGTACTAAGTTAAAGGCCGTAATAATGTTCTCATATTCTATGGTGGTCTAGCAGACAACATCCTCTCTTGATTTTGTTGGAAGCTGGTTCGATACCCCGTATTTGTTAAATTTTTGCAGGTTTTCCCCCTTCACGGTTGCTTACACTAAAATGCTTTTTTAATTATTGCATTTTAATTTATGCTTCTCAAGTCTTTTGTATTCTAAATTAAATTTATTTATTTATATTATATTTAGTAAGAGTAATAATAATTATAAATTAATTTTATTTATATTATATTTAGAATTTTTTCATAATACATCAAGTTCCGACGCCCTCGAGACAAAATTCCTGGCTCCGTCCCTGCCCGATAAGCAAGGTTAGTTGTGCTAGTTTAAGCATTGGTTGCCATCTATGGTCTCACTCAAACAATGGTGACTCGTGTTTTATGCCCACATCAGCTTCTGGATTATCAACTGGGTCATGGGCATGCTGCTCTTTTCCGCCGAGTTGAGTTGAAAACACTTGTGAATTTTCATAGTAATGAGGTGAGTCGATAAAATGGTATTCTGTATTTCCTTCAACCTATATTCCATTTTCTTTGTTTAGAGATGCGCAACTACTGAAACAATCATGCATCTGTCTCTTTGGGCTGGAAAATGTGGAGAGCTGACTCGTGATGAGACAACAATTACTGGTGGAGCACTTGAGCTCTCAGAAAAAAACAGTTGGTGATGCTCAAAGCTTTTGACTAGCTTTTGTTTCGGCGCAATATCAAATGTAATCGATGTATTAGTGTTTAGTCCCTATATTGAGAATACGTAATAGATCAGATTGAGTATAGACGGATGGTGAAGTTCATGTTATGTCCAGGAAAAACGATGGGCATACATAATATTAGGGCGTGTTTCCTCGGAAAAACCAAATGCCACCGCCGGTGCCGAATTCGTTTCCGGCGATGTTGATTTGATGTTTCGGGGTGGAAACTCCTGCGGTGCCGATTGAACGGATGCACCACTATCTTCTGACCAAATACCACCGTCGGCGTGCCAAACGACGATGTTGATTTGATCGAACTGATGCGCCACTGACTTCTAATCAAGACGACTGTGACTACGGTTCACACCTCTCCAAACTACGTTCGAACGAGGGTGTTTGAGTTTTTTGAGGAATTTACGTTACGACTACTCCTATGGAGATTCCTGTGGAGAGCTCCGCGACTACGCTACGACTACAACTATGGAGATCCTTCCTGGAAGGAGAGCTCCGCGAAGGAGTTACAGAGAAAAAGATAAGTTTGAACAGAGTTGATCTGTGTTGATTTGGTTGTCTTTTCTCTCTCCTTGCTCCACTGCTTTTATTCGAGAAACTGCTTCGTAGCCTTCACGCTCGGTGGAACCGCTTCCTCAACTGCTCCGTTGTGAAATCCCACGTATCTCAACCGCTTCGCTCCTCAAACTGCTTCGCGTGAACTTTACGTGAGTTGCTTTCATGATCCCGCGATGTCGTTTCCTTTCCCAAGCAGCTCCGCTTGATTCTACCCGCGACATCGTTTTAATATTAAACGACTCCGCTTCCAACCTTGCGGTGTCGTTTTCTTTCTCAACCAACTCCGTTTGTTTTTTTTTTTCCGCGACACTGTTTATTATTAAACACGGTCGTTTGCTAGTATAGCGGTACCGTTGGGCTTCCTCGCGGTACCGTTTTTAATTCCGCGGCACCGTTTTAGCTCTGCGGTACCGCTTGTCTCCGTGCGGTACCGATTTTCCTCCTCCAACAAGGAATAAAAATATTAATTAATTAAAAACAACACTCCTTCTCCAACAAGAAACCACACGCGCGGCCCTTGTTTTTTATTTTCGGCAAACGGTGCCGTTTCCAGTGCCGCGGTACCGGTGAGCCTCCTTGCGGTACCGTTTTAACTCTCCGCGGTACCGGTGAGCTCCTTTGCGGTACCGTTTTAACTCTCCGCGGTGCCGCTTGTCTCCATGCGGTACCGCTTCTCCCTTTCCCACAAGGAATAATAATAATAATAATAATAATACTCCTTTTCCAACACCGATACCAAACGC